GCGCGTCTCCAGCCACAGCTCCAGACCGGCCAGGCTCTCCTCCAGCGGGGGCAGAGCATCCGGAGCGACCGGAGCACCCATAAAAAAGGCCATGAGGTAGGGCACCGTGTGCGCGTCGATCTCGCTGGCCGCGAAGTCGAGCCACATGTCCACCTGACTGCTCTCGAACGGCGAGGCACCGTAGAGCTTGGCGCCGGTCTTCTCACAGCGGGCGATGTGGCGGAGAATGGCGTTCGACTCGAAGATGGAGCCCTCGTCAGTCTGCAAGGCTGGGAAGCGCATGCACGGATGGCAGTTGCGGGCGTACTCGCCCGTCTCGTTGTCCACGCCGTAGGAGCAAAAGTGGGGCCGCACCTCCACACCGGCGAAGGCGGCCGCGACGCAGATCTTCTGCGTGCGAGCGTTCTCGGGGTGCTCACCAGTGAACAGCGTGAACGGCATCTTCGGGTTTAATGTTGCTGGAGTGGTGTCAAAAGGTAAAGAGGAGTTTTTAGAGAAGCGATACTGTGGAGTACGCGACAAGAGGCACCGTTGACAGCAGCAAAGACGGGGGATGTGCCGTATGCAATTAACAGCGCACGAGGAGAGTACGAAGGCTCATGAGAAACAGAAGAAGAGGGGGAATGGCGGGGTGATGCCGTTGAAGTTCGCATGGGACACGGAAACCAGCCGTCACTGTGGGCGTCACCTACACCCGCACCGATGAACAGGAGAACACGCTGTAGGTTCGGTGCGGTGTGGGCGGTGCGCGAGGATGCCACCAGCAACAGCACACGGGCTCACAGCGCGCACCTCTGTGTGAAGACTTGTGTGCGGCACGGTGGCGCCGCTCACAACTCAAGCACCGCACTCGGAGTCGCAGAGGGTTACTCGCAAGAGGCCTGGGGCGTGTGGTTCACGCACCTGAGGAGCAAAACACCCGATTGGCGACCCCCACTTTGCATTCCGTTTTCTTTCCTTCTCTTTCCTGTGCAGCTCCCGTGTGGGTATGAGAAGTAGTGCTGCTTTCGCTGTGTCATTTCCAGGCATCAGTCCATGTAGATGTTCCTCCCCCCTGCCTCCCTCCCTCCTCAGGCAGCACGCAGCTGAGCTCCGTGGCGTGCGACCCATAGAGTGCATGCAGGCGAAGACTGCCCGGTTTCTCTTTGCATTATACGTCGTGCCCTCGCCGTGGTGCAGAGGGACCCAGCATGTGCGTTGGCGTGGCCTCCACGGCGGTACTCTCTGCGCCGAAGCGCAGCACAACATCAGCCAGTAAACGTCCTGCTCAGCTTGCACCGTTCGATCGTAGGGAGGGAGGGGGCGGAGGCGGAGGCGAAAAAGAAACTCGTTGTTAAAAGAGCCAATGTTGGCTGCTCTTGCTTTATATACGTATATGCGTACCAACACGCCCATCACAAGCACCTTCCTGAGAAGGAATGTGATACGCTCGTGAAAGAGAAGAAAGGCAGTTAATGCCTCCGACCTGGACGAGTCCAGCGGAAAGTTATATCAAAAATGTTTTTTGTCGAGAAAAAAAAGAAAGCAAAGGCGCTGCTGAGTGAGCGTCACTCAACGCGGCACAGCGTCAGCGAGTCGCCTACTTGAAGCAGCGGCCCTCCAGCACCGGCAGCGGGATCGTCGGGCCCTCCCAGCACAGGTAGTCCGTGATCTTCTCCTTCTCCGCCTGCACGTCCTTGATCTCCTCCCACACAAACAGCTCCGTGTCCACCACCTCGCTCACGATCTCCGGCATGCCCTTGCCGCGGAACACCCACATGCCCACAAGGTCGTGCTTCTTGTCCTCGCCGATGATCAGCGCAATGCCGAAGGCGTACTTGCGCACGTGCTCCATGCGCTGGAACCACCCGCGCACCAGGTTCGCCGTCATGAACTGCATCTTGTTCTCCTCGTTGTACTTGTAGCGGCACCAGAAGCACGTGTAGCCCGCGGGGTCGTAGTTGGCGAAGAAGTACGGCGCCGCCACGGTGCGGGTGTCGGTGTTGCTGTACTCGCGCTTGAAGGCGTCGAGCACGAAGCTGCTGGGCGGCAGTGCGTCCAGCGGGTTCGGCTTCTTCTCCTCCTTCGCCGGCTTCTCCTCCTCCTCCTCCGCGTGCTCCGCCGCCTTCGGCTTCTTCTCCGCCTTGGGCTTCTTCTCCTCCGCCTTCTTGGCCGCCTTGGCGGGGCCGAAGGTCGCACCCCACTGCTTCAGCACCTCCACCGTCTTGGGCTGCTGCATCACCGTGTTGTACAGCCGGTACACGTTCTTGAACTTCTTCGTGAGGGCCTCGCCGTGCTCGACGCAGGCGCGGTACGCCCACTGCAGCGCAAAGGCGACGGAGATGTCCGCGATGGTCATGCGCTCCCCCACGAGGAAGGTGCGCGTCTCCAGCCACAGCTCCAGACCGGCCAGGCTCTCCTCCAGCGGGGGCAGAGCATCCGGAGGAACCGGGATGTGAGCAAACAAGGAAATAACAAAAGGCAGCGTGCGCGCGTCGATCTCGCTGGCCGCGAAGTCGAGCCACATGTCCACCTGACTGCTCTCGAACGGCGAGGCACCGTAGAGCTTGGCGCCGGTCTTCTCACAGCGGGCGATGTGGCGCATGATGGAGTTGGAATCAAAGATGTAGCCCTCCTCCGTCTCCAGGACCGGGTAGCGCATGCACGGATGGCAGTTGCGGGCGTAGTCAACCGTAAAGTTTTCCACCCCCATGGAGCAGGCGCGCGTCTTCAATTCCACACCGGCGAAGGCGGCCGCGACGCAGATCTTCTGCGGACGAGCGCCTTCGGGGTGCACGTAGGTGAGCAGCGTGAGCGGCATGTCTTTTTGTTTTTGAGTAGTGTTAAAAGTTAAAAGGAAGAAGGAATTATGTGTTGCGGTTTAGAAGATAATAAGGATGAAGAGGTGAGAATTCTGCCGCAGCGTGTGGTTGAGCAGCGTTGCGAGATCGCGTGCGGGGGCGGGAGGGAGAGAGAGAGAGGTGGCAGGTTGAGTTGCATCCGCGAAGGGTAGAAGAGGGAGAGGAGAGGCGGAAGGTAAGGGCGTTTGGTGGGAGATGACAAAAAAAAAAACAGGAAAACGAAGAAGCGCAGTGTGACACGCTGCGGTGCTCCTGCTGTAGCAACAAACGCCACCCCCCCCTCCCCCCCCATGCGTGGGATAGGGTGACCATCAAGTGCCATTTACGTGGAGTTCACCCCACCATCGCGATTGCTGTTGCGTTGCGGCACCTTTTGTGTTGTGTTGTTGTCGGTGAGGAAGCGACAAATTACGTTTGGGAAGAGTACCGGCCACTGGCACGATAGCGCTTGTTCACGCGGCAACGAAAGAAGGAGTAATGCCGTTTTGGGGAGAGGAGGGTGGAGGGGGGTTGTAGGTGTGCTCGACTGAACAGTCCGCTAGTCACAATACTGGACTGTATCGCTGTTTGCGGCATCCGCTTTCTTCTTTGCTTGCACCTTGACGAGTCTCCCCGCCCCCTTCTCTCTTTGTCTCGTTGTTGTTTTGCTTCTTCTGAGAGGGGCAATTTGTAACGTAAACAAATGGAAGGAAAAAAAAAGCATGAAAAACCTCTATTGACGGTAACAGAGAAGGACACACACACACACCGAGACTCAAGAATACCACTGCCACACGATCATCACCAACGACAACTAGAAGAACCATACAACGACAGTCTCCAACAAACTTAGCACATCTACACGAGAAGAAAAATAATACTAAGAAAGAACGCTAGCAACATACTAGACGAAGGGGATGCTGGAAAGGAGTTGGGATGACGTAATACGATACGCACTTCTCTCTCCTCTCCCCCCCCTCTTTCTTCTCCCTCTTCACTGTCCTTCTTTTTAAAACTTTTTACAGCCGTCTTCGCCGTCGATGAAAGGATTTACATAATACAATTGCCCACTACAGGACCCCTCTCTCGCTCCTTCTCGCCTACGCACGTGGCGCCACCGTCGTGGGAGATTACCCGCCGCACAGCTGTACACCAAGCAACAGCAGAAAGCACCTTAGCGGCATAATCTATGGTCAGCTTCTGCTTCAAGAAGAGTGAGGGAGAGGGTGGCAAACACCTGATCTCAAACAGACAAATAAATAGATAAATAAATCAAGTACACGCCGACAATAATGCGGCACAACACACACACACACACAGGCGCAACGGTCGTCGGTCAGCAACGGCAACGGACAACACAACCTCAGCCACACAACTCTCCTGCGCACATAGCGGCAAGTAACAATAATAATAAAGAAATACAAGGGAAAAAGAGGTGAAAGGTGTATATATATATATATATAAAGCCACACAATGCAATTACCATCTAATACAAAACAATCAAAAAAAATGAAGTATCACAGACGACAACTCCGCGCTGCACAAATGGCAATGAAACGCGCCTACCAAAAACGACGAACATTAAGTGCTCTGTATACGATCGCTTGTATCCCAACGTCGCTTGGCGTGAGCGTCCCGCACTCACGCCGTACACACAAACATACACATTTACGTACAATCTCGAGGTCCATTACGTGTACCTCTGCGGTGTCCTAAGAGCGGAGGGGGTGCCGGCAGTCTGCTGTGACGCAAAGACGCCCTGGTAATAAGCCTCCATCATATCACGCCAGTGCGCAAACATCTCATACGACGCCCACGGATCCGCTGCCGAGTCTGCAGTCCTTGGTGCGCCGCTAGGCACAGAGCAGCGCACGTTTGCGGATAGAAGACTGCCGCTGTCGTGGTGGTTGCTGCTGCTACGGCTGCCCTGAGATGGCGGGTGCGAGCTGGACGCCGGTGGCTTCTGGGTGGGTACGAACGCAGGTGCATGCGCGTTCATGTGCGACGGCGCTACCGCTGCACTCGATGGAGTGCTGCCGCTGTTGCTGCTCGTGCGGGGTTCAAAAGGTGCTGCCTCGTAGCGGATCCTCCCGTGTGGCGGCGTTGCGGTGGTGCTGTTGGGTTTGGGGTTGGGGTTGGGGTGGAGTTGACCTCCGGGCACGAAAGGGGCTGCCCTGTAGTTGAACTTCGTCTTGGTGGGCGTCGAGTCTGCCGAGGCGGTGGGCACGACGGAGGCAGCCGGCTTGCCGGGAACAAACGGCTTCGCCTCGAGGTTCAGCGTCGTGGTCGTCGTGCTGGCAGCTGGTGCGACGGAAGAGAGCTGCGATGGCGTCTCTTCTCCTGTCACTTCTTCGGGAATGATGCTAAGCGTCGACGGGGAGTCTCCCTTCGTCTCCTGTTGCGTACCCTGCGACACAAAGACGGTGCGGTGGGGCACGCCGTCCTGCGCCTCTGATGCGTCTAAACTGCTACTTGGCGGCGTCGACGCTGACGGTGGTGCTGGGGAGTTGCTGAGGAGGCCACGTGCACTGCGTTGCTGTTGCTTGAAGTCTTCCTGAACGTCACGCAAGACCGCACGCTCCGCCTGCGACACGTCGACCACCGACGGCGATGTGGTGCTCGGCGTGCCGTGGTTGTGACCTTGAATGGGCTGGGCGAGCTGATTTCGAATCATGCGGAACAATTCCTGCGTCTCGCGATCCTCTTTGGCATTCGCGTTTTCTCCACTACCACCACGACCCGTCGAAGACATAGGCGGAGGCGGGGGAATAATGGGAAACGCGCCTGGGAAGGGGGAGGGCATGAGGCGAGCCGCTACGCTCATGCTACTCGTGTTACAGTTGTTGTTGCTGCTGCTGTTGCGGGCACCCTGCCCATTGGACCCAGGGCGCGCTCCGGCGAACCCGTAAGGGGACGGGGAGGAGATCGCTGACAGCCACCCCACCGGCGGGACGACCGGCTGATGCTGGGAGAAGACGGTGAGGTGAGCGTACGGGTTGGGGTAGCCGTAGGCGGCCATCGTCGACGCCAGCGCTGCTGCGGCTGCCGCCTCGCCCTCCGCGCTGTTCCCTCGCGCCATCTCCGCCATCGAGCGCCACCCTGCCAGGCGCCTCATCTGCTCATCGTAGGAGAGTTCGCTGGGTGGCGGGTTGCCGCGCTGGGCAGCGAGGGGAGTTGTGGTCGTCGTTGTTGTCGCTGCTGCGCCTGCAGCGGTAGTGGCGGCGGTGGGGATCGGGTTCAACGGGACGCCGCCCACCTTGATGGAAGGCATCGAGTGCCCAATGACGAGCTGCGGCGCCGCTCCAGCAGCGGTGTTGCTGCGGTCTGCCACTGCCTGTGCGACGGTGGAGGTTGCTGCTGACGCCTGTTCTTGCTCGTGCTTCTGCCGACGCTGCTGCTGCTCGTTCAGTTTCAGCTGCTTCAGGCGGTTGATGACGACCATGATGACCTGCTGCACGTATTCACGACGGCGTGCGGCGGCCCGGTAGGCCTCCGCGTCCACCTCCGGCTCTGCCGAGCTGGGGGCTCCTTTCGTGTCACTCCTTTCCTCTGCCTTTTCGCTTGAGTGCGCGGCGGCGGCAGCGGCATCGAGGGGAGCCGGACGGCGCAGCACGCGTACGTGTTGGAACATTTTCCACAGCAGCTCCAGCGACTCCGCCGTCAAGCAGTTATGTTCGCACAGTTCCATCAGTTGGTTGAAGAAGGCGAGCTCGTTGTTGATGGTGGTGGTGGTCGGTGCTGTCGACGGCCCTGATGTGCTCATGTGAACTGCCGAGGTCTCTCCTGCGGTTTTCGCCGTCGTGGACGCGGATGCGTCGCCGAGGCAGTAGCGCAGGAGAAGCTGGCTAATCGCGTCTAACGCATTCTCGCTGTAGCCGTCCGTGCTCTCCGCATCCGCAGCACCGGCACCGTCTGCGCCTGGCGTGGGGGTGTTGTGGGCGCTGCCCGCGGTGCGGTTGCGCAGTGCTCGCAGCTCTTCCAGTGAGTTGTTTCCTTTTACGGTTACGGTGTGCGTAGGCGTGGCAGACGCAGACTCAGCCGCGCTCGTGTCCTGCGTGCGCTTCGCAGAGGCGCTATTCAGCGCCGACGCCGCCTTCGCCCGCTTGCGGACTGCACCGCGGTGCACGGCTGCGGTGTCTGCCGCGGCGGTTTCTGCCTCTGCTTCCTCCGTCCCTTTGTTCTTGGGCGTTTTACCCTCCGCTGCCGCTGCTGCGGGTGCCGCCTTCGACCGGCGCTTCTTTGCAGTTGGCGTGATGGTGGCGGTGTCGCCTGTCGGCTCCGTCGTGTGCTGTGTGGCCACTGCCATTGCCGCCGTTGCTGCCTTGGGCTTCTTCACGACGTTGGTTGCCTTTACCGGAGGCTGCGCCGCAGGGGCCAGCAGACCCTCGCGGTGCTGCCGCATCAAATCCGCAAAGCTGACTTTCGACGCGGGCGCCACTCCCTCTGCCGTTCCCTTCGCTGCGGTGTCGTCGCCTCTGCTGACGTCCACTGCCGGGCCGGACTTTTTGCTCTCTACCGCCGCCGCGGCTGTTGTTGTCGGCGGCATTGACACGGCAGGGATGGGCTTGCCATCTCGAATAGCCTCCGCGATGGCCGACTCCGCCTGCCGCTCGAGCGCGCGACGCAGCCAGATGTTCATGGGCCGTGTCGCTGGTGCAGGAGGTGCTGCCCCTGCCGCCGAGGTGGCCTCGCTGCCTTCACCTTCGGCCGTGGCTGCTGCCTCCTTCTTTTCTGCCTTGTCTTCCTGCGTTGTTGGGGCACCTTCTGTGCGCACCTCGGCGGGGCCGCTGTCGCCGTCGCCCCGCCAGTTCATGAGACGGCTGCGCCATCCCCACAGACCACCTCCACTCCCGCCCTTTTCCGTGTCCCTTTGCGCGGTGGACGCCGTGTCGGACTTCGCTGCCTCTGCTTCCTTTTTGGCTTGCGATGGGACCGTCTTTGCGGTGGGATCTGTGGCAGACATCTTTAGTCCGTGTGTGTGTGTGTGTGTGTGTGTGTGTGGTGCTTCGTGGGGTGCAACGATGCGCAACGCCGCGGTAGTGCAGACCAAGAAGTGGCTGTCGACGTCAAGTATGGAGATCCCACGCTCGCACACAGGCACAACGACGCAGTGGAATAACAACAATAAATAAATAAAGAAAACAAACAAATATATATATAGAATGAAGAGAGACCAGCGTCTTTTCTTTCTTTCCTCCGTTCCTTCTCGCTGTTGCGTCTATTTGATTTGTGCTGCTGTGGCTCGATAGTAATATCCTTTCGTGTGCTTTTCGGTGGGATGGGATGGGTGGGGAGAGTTAGAACCACACGTACGAGAACGGAGACGGCGACAGAAGGGGAAACGCCGGAGAGGTAGACGGTGAGAGCAGGTAAGTAGATAAAGAAGCAACGTCGTCTAAACCCGGTGTACTACGGAAGTGGAGCTGTGTGGTCATGAGGCGGCCTTTTTTTTTTTACCGCTGCTCAGCGCGCAGGAGGCGGTATTTGCCGCGGGCGCCCTCACCGCGCCGCCTGTAAGGATCCACGCTGCACCACCGCGACTTCATAGGCAAGTAAAGAAGCGGTGAAGAGCAACTTCTGGACCGTACATAACACACACATGTACACCTTCGTGTGTCAAAGGGTAAAGGCAAATTAGGTTATCTTTCCTTCATGTCTTCCTTCAAAGGTGTCTCTCTTCTTCTTGTCTTTTTGAAGTGGTGGTACGGCGGCGAAAGAGCCGAGGGGGACCTTCGCGGTCCGTTGCCTGGAAGGGCAATGGAATCAACAGCAGCATTCAAAAGACGTCGTGGTAGACATACCTACACAGGTCTATAAAAAGAAAGAGCTCTCTCACATAATAACACGAGTGTATATATATATGTGAAGAAAATAATAAAAAAGCAAAAGGACTAGAAGCAACAGCAGCAGCAACAAGAAAACTCGAGCGACGATTTCCGCCGGTGCTAGCGTTGGCTGGGGTGTGGGGAAGGCGGCCGCATCGGCGCAACACTCCCCCATCCACCCCGCCGCAACGCCTCCTCGCCCACGTCCTCGTCATCCTCTTGATCCGCGCCTTCGCCGTCGTCGGCAGAGGACACGCAGGGGGCAAACAAAATGGACCGTCCTTCCCGCTCCTGCCGCTGTCGCTGCACCCCCGGCAGCGTCAACGCCAGCGGCGGCCCGTGCAGGGGCAGCGTGCGGTGCTGCCAGAACTGCAGTGCGTCGAGCAGGGTGCCTAGCTTTGTTACTTTGGTCCACTGCTCTCGTAGGCTGTGCGTCCCCCACTTGACCATCCGCGCTCGCAGCGACGCCCCCGTCTCCACCTGCTTCGTCAGCGTCCACGCCGGTAAGTAGAACTCCCGCTGATTTAACTGGCTCGGCAGCATCCAGGCGTAGGCCCCCAAGATGGGCCGCAGCGGGTCAGGACGGTGGCGGTGGAAGGTGACGTACAGCGTGACCCGGTGCACTTCCAGCCGCTCAATAAACATGAAGGACGCCGTGCTAACGTTAGAGCTCGCCGTCGTCGTCGCCGTCGTGGTTGTGTTCGGCGCGCCGGCGCTCGCGCTCTCGACTCCTGCCGCCCCCTCCATATCCGTCCCCGTGGTGGTGGCAGTGGCACCCGCTAAGCCATCCCCGGCCCCGCCACGCTGCAGCGCACCGCGATGGTGCCGCACGGTGGTCGGCACCAGCTGCCGCCGATGTCCGCCCCTCTTGACCAAACCGTCACCACCACCACCACCACCGCGGAGGGGACTCATCAAGCCGCTTGATTTGCTTCGTTTGCCTTCCCGCGTCGTGATGGCCGAAAGCGAGCCCGCCATTAAACCCGTGCCCTGTCGTTGCAGTCGCACTCGCACCTCCTGCACCAGCTGAAGGAGAAAAACGGATTGAGAGACGAAGCCGGCGGTGTTGGCGGCGCTGGAGGAGCTGCATTGCGGTCGCTGCTGCTGCTGCTGTTGCTGTGGTCGTGAGCTGACTCTCTTCGTACGTGATCGGCGTGCCATCGACTGGAGAGAGTCCCCCGTCACCGCTGTGGTCGCAGGCTGCTCCTCCTGCTGCTGCTGCTGCGTTGTCGTTGGTGGTCGAGTGCTGTGCCGTGAGGCGGTGTCGTTGCTATCGCTGCCGCTGCGACGACCACCGCGCCGCGTCACCACCGGCGATCGCCGGGAGCGGCGGAGCACAGCGTACGTGCTCGCCTGCGCGCCACTCCGCGACGACGCCGTCGTCTCCGTATCGCTGCTGCTGTCGTTGCGGTTGTTGCCGTCCGGCAGTGTACCTCGAAGCAGGCGATTCATCGTACTTGCTGTCACGTTGTTGTGCTGAACTGGTGGCGTTGTTGAAGGCAAGAACGGAGGGGGCACCGCAGCAGCAACAACAGCAGCGCCATCGTCGCCGGCTTCAATCACGACGTCACCGTCCGCACGGCAATGTATTCGCGAACTCAGTTGACGAAGTGCACTCCAACTGGCCAGTGTGGGCTTCGGTTCATCCTCTGCCACCACCACCGTAATACCCGTCCCGTCCGCATCCGCATCCGCACTGCCGGTGGTGCCACTAACGGATGGAACTTGTGCTGGCAGAAGCGGTGATGATTCCTGCTGCTGCTGCTGCTGCTGCTGTTGTAGTGGCTGTGGTGCAGGTGCGTTGAGCAGGATCATGGGCACGGTCGTCATGGTGGTCGTCTGCGTCGTAGCGGCCTGCTTCCGCAGACCGAGAAGCACCCGCAGACGTCGCACCTCATAAATTGTGTCCGCCAACCAGAAGTCGGACAGGACCACCACCAGCGGCGTCAAGACGCAGCGCAGCTCTGTGAGACGCGTGACGCCGTCGGCGTACTTGATGAAGTTGTAGCTGAGCTCCACATCGTTCGGCTTTTCCATAGCGTGCAGGAAAGCGTCGCGCTGACCAAAGACGGCGGCGAAGCCGCGATGGGCTGCCGCGGTGGTGGCTGCGACGGCCGCCCGTGGAAGCAGCATCACCGCCCTCGCCCGTCTGTTTGCGGAAGACGGAGGAAGAGGAAGAGAGGAGGCGGATGAGGAGGGAGCTGGGCGACGGCCACCAGTGCGCCAAGAGACGCCTGGACTCGAAGAGAGAGCCGGAGAGGCAGTCGTGGTGGCACCGGCCGGAGACGAGGGCGATGACGATGACGACGCGGCGTTGGCTGGCAGCGCAGAGGGCAATCGCGGCCGTGCGCGATGCACAAAGACGGAGCCCAACTTCTCGTCAATCCACTGCATTTGATGAATGACAAAGAAGAACGTTTCCGTGTCCTCCGTGGAAAGGCGCTCCAGCTGCAAGCCCTCGAGGATTATCGAGAAGAGAAGCGGGTTAGCCGCAGAGCCGTTAGCGTCACCGGGAGAAGAGACACCTCCACCGCGCGAACGACTGCGAGCTCGTCGTCGCGTCGCGCTGCTTCGGCTTCCGGTGAGCGGGCTCTGCCGCAGACCGCCGTCCACGCCAGCGCTGTCGTTCGTCTTGTTGTTGCTCCCACGTACCTCCGCAGCGTCCACCACAATCACCGCCCCCTCTGCATCGCCTTCTGGGTTGGAGGCACCGTCACCGCCACCACCGTCGTCCACCCCCGCCGCGGCTGCCCCAAACGGGACCGCCAGACGCATGGCGACCGCCACACCGGCGCTCATCTCCTGTATCCAGCTGAACCGCACCATCGACACCTGCAGCGAAAATACCGACGAGGTACGCCACGCGTCGATGGAGGCGTACAACGGAATGGCGAGCTCCGTGACGATGATCGTGACGCGCGTCTTTTCGCGGTTGGCGTAGCCGCGCACGAAGAAGGAAAACGGCGTGTGCGGGGCGGCGCTGCGCTTCACGTGGGTGGGCCACGGGTGGGCCTGCTGCGCCGCGGCCAGCGCCTCCGCCTCCGCGGCGGCCTCGCTGTCTTCGTGGTAGGTCACCTGGCACTCCCCGGAGCTGAAATCCACGTCGAACCACCGCCCTTTGAAGCCGAGGATGTGCACGCGAATCCGGTGCTCCTGCCTGGCGTCCTCCCACAGGAAGAAGCGGTTCTGGCGCGGTGGGATGCGGTTGCGCCGACGGCTGCCCTGCTGGCGCACCATCACCGCGTCCCGCGCCGTGCGGTTCTGCAGGAGAATCTTCGTGCCCTGAATGGGCTGCAGCAGCACCGTCAAGACGTTGTCAGTGTTCTGCACCTCCACCGCAATTCGGCCTGTGATGACGGCATCCGACGCGTACGCATCGTACGGCTCCAGCCAGGTGGGGTGGGGAAGGAGAGGTCGCTGCACAATGAGGTCACCGCCGTAGCTTACCGCTACCCGTTTCCCTGGAGCGCGTGGCGCGGCCCACAGGTTGAAGGCCGCCGCGCCGGGCCGGTCCACGTCCATGTACGGGGTCAGGTGGGACTCGTAGTACGCGGCGACGTCGCGGTGTTCGAAGTTGTTGTCCTTCGTGATGGAGGTGATGGAGGGCAGGACGCCTTCCAGCACGTCCTGCACACAGAACTGGTTGCCTTCGATCGGACCGACGCAGCTAACGTGGTAGTCACCGGGGTTCAGTTGCACTGTTGCGAGGGATGCGAGAGTAGAGACGTTGTCGTCCGCCGGATGCAGAGCTTGACTGCGCTGCTGCTGCTGCGGCGACGGCGACGACGACGCTGCTGCTGCTTCCATGCCGTCTGCGCTCTCTGCTCCTTGCTTCAGCAGCAGCAGTTGTCGCCGCTTCATTCGCTCCGCCTCGCGCATCACCTTCGCCAGCCCTGGAAAGCGGAAGTGGATTCGCAGCCGTTTCTGCGCGTTGTTGTAGAAGACCCATCGAGGAGTGATTTGCAGCACCATCGGCCGGCCCTCCTGCGCGTTTGGGAACAGGATGGAGTAGTTGCAACTGCGCTGAATGCCGAGCCGCGACTGCGCAGAGACGAAGACACCGGTGGAGCCGACGTCGATGGGCACCGCGCCGGACCAGCCGCCATCCAGCCCAATCGAAAAGAAGCCTTGTGTAAAGTCGGCCAGCCGACAGCCAATCAGAAACGGCTCGCCTTGAGAGGGAATGATGCCCGTGGTGCTACTCTGACCCGGACACAGCCGTCGCCGCACGATGTTGTCGCACATCAGCAGAGGGTACTCCGTCAAGTTGTACACCCACAAGGCAACGGAGAGCACCACGGTGCGCGGCATCACGCTCACCTGCACGTAAAAGGTGCGGCCGTGGCTGTCGTGCAGGAGGAGCATGTGTGGGTGGTGGTCGACGGCCTCGCGCAGGCGGGTGACGACCAGCTCGAGGTCAGCCGTGATGAGGGTGTCGCCGGTGCTTTGGCTGAAGGACAGACCCAACACGAGGTTGTTGCTGTAGGTGCAGAAGTGCAGGGGCAAGGCGTGCTGGTGTGGGAGGGCGTCGTGGGCGCCGAGTGCGACGAGGCTGCGGTGGAAGCGCTCGCGCTCGTGTCGGCCACGACCCACGTACGGCGCCGTCCACGGTGCTAACAGCATCGCCTCGTCGGGCGTCTGTGGGCCGGCCGCGGGGTCCTGCTGGAACACCGCCACCCGCGCATTCACACCTAAATGGTTTACCAGTGTCAGCCGGGGGTAGAGGGCGATGTGCTCGATGAGGTTGTCCGAGGAGTAGTTGATCACCACAAAGAGGATCAACGGGCGCTTGTCGTGGTCCTCAAAGGCGTCGTCAGCGGCCACGGCGGCGGTGGGCACGGTGCTCGGGACAGCCGTCTCAGCGGACCACCGTGACTTGCGAGAAGCTCGGTTCAACGTCAGAAAGTGTCCACTGTCGAGGTCGCCGAGGACGAGCCGCGCCTCGTACCAGCGATCGACCGATGCACCGCTGTTTTCCGCTCCGCCGTCTCTATTCGACAGACCTTCACTGCTATCCTCCTCATGGGTGCTGCTGTTGTGTGGCGGCGCGTCGGTGGTCGTCGTCGTCGGCGGCGAGACCCAGCGGGCGGATGGACAGCAAACGCGTAGCAGCACTTCATTCTGCACGTCCTCCTCCTCCAACGGCAGCCGCCATCCTGGTGGCACCGTGACAGACGTTGATGCTGCTGCTGCCGCAGTTGAAGTGGTATCGCTGACCACCGCAGCCGCCGGCATCAGCGAGCACAGCTGCAGCGTGCAGCCGGTTTCGTTCAATAAGGAGCTGCGGGCCTGCAGACGCACCACGAGGAGGTCACCCACACTGCTATCTTCTGCCATCATTACCGGGCCGGCTGCGGTGTGACTGCTGCCCTGGCCGGTCATCCGCAGCGCTGCGGAGTTGGACACACCGCCCTCCGCCACACTACCACGACCGCCGTGCCTTCGATGATGGGGTGAGGAGTGCGGCTTTGCGGCAGGGGCGGTGGTGGGATGCGACACGTGGGACCCGTGGGGGTACGGATGCTGCACCTTCGCTGCCGCAGCAGCAGCGGCCGAGGTTGGTGACGCGAGGGGGCCGCCGTCGTGCGGTGGGTCTACGGTGAAGTCAACGGAACGCCTATTGAAGCGCCGCTCTGCTTCGTCAGGCTCACCAGCGCCGTCGCCCATACCAGCGGCCCCTCCGGCTGCGGCGTCGACGTAAGCCGATGACGATCGCCGCGAAAGAGGCGCGGACAGGTGGCGAGAGGTGACGGACGCGGCCGAGGTACCACCGCCGCGCGTACGTTGACGGCTACTACGTCCTCGTCGCGCTGTATCAAGCGTATTCCGTGTCGCATCAGGGGCAACGACGATCGGGTACTGCAGGCTCTCCGCCTCCTCCTCGGGGTCGACGCAGGTGAGCGCCAGGGCGTAGGTTTGGACCTTGTAGCTGCTGTCCGCCTCACTGCCCCCTACAACGTCCAGTGCGCGAGGCCGCGTCCTCATCACACGACCGCCGACGTTGCTGTTGTTGCTGCTGTTGCTGCCGCCATACAGGACAGTGCCATCGCGAGACAGAGTCAAGGAGGCGGCCGCGGCCACGGCGGCGGGGGGCGTGACTTCTACTCTTGTCGTTGTACGCACCGCGACGGGACGTGCCATGCCGTACTGCAGTGTGGTGAAGGGGAACCAGTTGATAGCGGCACGCGCAGCGAACGCACCGTCTTCTTCGCCGGTGCTGTCGGCGGGTCCGCGCATCGCCTCCACCGCCTTCGCCGCGAGCTCCGTTTCGCCGTTTGCGTTCAGCACCCACGTCCCCGCATCTTCATCCCACTCCACACAGCCGGCGGGGAAAAACGTCAAGACGAGCGAGCGGGCGCGGCGGTACGAGATGAAGACGTCCGTCGCCGACGCCGGTGGAAGGCGGTAGAGCTCCTTGCAGTGCCAAATCGTCGGCACCGCTTCCGTGGAGTCGACGGAGAAGAAGAGGGAGGCGTCGGCGGCCGCGACGGCGGTCACCGCCTGCCGCTCGCAAATGCCGGCAAAGAGGGTGTAGCGGAAGCTATTCCACAGGCGGTGCGTCGCCATGCCAGCCGTTACCGGGACACCGCCTGGCGCACCTGCCGTCGTTGCATCGCGAAGTGCGCGACGCGAGGAGAAGGCAGGCTCTCGAAAGGCAAGACTCATGGCGGTTGAGCGGGCAGCCGACACACGTGCACGGCGATGCGGAGTCTTTTTTTCGTCATCTGCAGAGGCCTCGGTGCCTGTGCCGCTGCTGCTGTCGCTGTCGGTGCTGCTGTGGCTTTCAGCATCGTCGCCGTTGTTGCTACTAGTGGTACTGCCGCTGGTTCTACTGTTGTTGTCACCCGTCAGAACGCTCAGCGTGTGACTGTCCAGCCGGTACTGCAGCTCCGTGCCGTCTCCATCTACATTGGCAGGGGCAGCGAGATCGACAGCGACCGGCGCTTTTTCCCCTGTCAGCGCCGCTGCCGCCGCTGCGAATCGCCTCTGCAGGCTGCTGGAGAGCATCTTCAGCTGCCGCGCGATGTACAGCAACTTTGCCACAATTAAATGAGAGCACTGCACGCGTATGCCCTCCACCTTGAGAAGGACGTGGCCGTTGCTGCTGTGGCGGGAGATGGACTGCGTGAGGGACCAGGTGACGGCTGCGCTGGGCAGCAACAAAGAGTCCCAACGGCCGCGTCCGTACACCTGCAAACTTGCCTTTTGGCACTGCAAGAGCGATGTACTGGCCACAACGGAGGTGGACGTGCGGCGCAGCAGCATGTCCTGCACCCGCAGCTGCAGCAGCGGGTAGCGGTGATCGCTGATGGTGAGTTCGATAACAGGCGTGTAAATGGCCCAGGAAGAGCCACGGGTGTGAGGCGGCTTTTGCTCGCGCTGACGACGACGACGACGCAACTGCTGTCGCTGTCGCTGCTCTTCTAATGGCGGGTCTTTTGTTTGGTTCTGCGGGGGAGCGTCCACTGCGGTTTCAGCAGCCTTCTTCTCAGCGGGCCGATCCGTCGGCGCCGCGGCGTTGCCTTCCTCCTTTCCACTTCTGCGCGAGGTGACGGAGTCCCATATGGCGGCAAACGGACCCGCCGCGGCCTTCTCCTGTCCGCTTTCCCGTCGCGAGGCTCCCGGTGCCGCCGCGTCGTCGATGTTACCCAAAGACTCACTCGCGCCCACCCGTGAGCTCTCTCCTCCCTGTCGCCAGCTGACCTTCGATTCCCGCTGCGACGGCGGTAGATCGTGCCTCACCGACACCTCTCGTCCGTCCAGTGCACCGTCCTTGGGGTTCTCCTCCTCCTCCTCCACCTGGTTCTCCTCCCCCTCGTCGTCGCTTTCTGCTCCCGAACCTTCTCCATCCGCCTCGTCGTCGTCATCGTCGTTGGTGCCAGCGGTGAAGAGGTCCACCGGCGCGGCAGCCTTCCACGCCAGCGTCGCCTCCACCAGTTCTAGAAACTCCTTCTCCACCCGACTGTGAGTCAAGTACTTCGCGTACGACCGCAGTGCCTGCAGCTCGCCGGCGTAGGTGGAGAGCAGCAGCAAATCAGCCCGACCCAAATCCACCTGCGCCGCGTTGAGCGACACCGCGTGATGGCGGCCGTTGTTGCTGCACATACTCACATCTACCGGTGCAAGCACGGCGGTGCGTGCCGTTGACGCCGCGGCATCGTAGATCGACTCCGAGGAAACAGTCAGGCCGGTGCAGCGCAAATCGTCGCGGAGCAGCGCGCCGCCGCACACGCTCATCCACAACTCGACGGCGGTGCTGAGGCGGACCTGGCGGGATTCCCGGCGCGGCTCCATGATGAGCGAGACGCGCGGTAGCACGAGGTGGATGCTGCGGTGGGCTAGCGGGGTGGCTTTTACAGCGGTATTCGCCGCAACTCCCGTTGCCTTTCCTGTGCGAGGCGGCGACCCGGCGTTGATGGGTGACGTTGCTGGGAGCGATGTCTCCGCACCATCCGACTTGATTGTAGTGCAGGGCGACAAGGGAGGCATCACCGCTGCCGCTGCTGCTGGCCCCTTCACGCCCATACTCGTCGGCTCGCTAAAGCCGAGACGCACGTGGACGCACTCCAGATAGCTGTCCTCGCCGACCGCCATAAACGGCAGCAGCACCGCCTCCACGCTGGTGTTTCCCTGACTGTCCCCCAGCGACGGGTTCCACATCCCCAGCGGCAGCTGCACGCGCCCACTGCCCACAAAGCGCACGGTGAGTCCGCCCTGAACGACCATCACGGTGCGCTGTAGGCCGTCCGGCTGCAGCAGCAGCGCATCATCGAGAATGACATTGTAGCCGTTCAGCATGACCGTCATGAGGTTCGTGTTGTGGCTCGAGAAGAAGAGAACGAGTCCGTTGCGAGAGAGGGTGATGTCGTGCTCTAAGGACCAGATCGGGTCGAGTGCCTCGTAGATGCGCAGGCCACGCCCTGGTGGCCACTTCAAGAGGGAGACCGGCTCCGTCAGGTGTGAGCCGGGAATCACCTCCTCTCTTTTCACACTGTCGTGCACTCCTGCAGCGCCGTCTGCTGCGGCGGATGCGCTCTCTGTGCCGTTGTCCGTCGACGTGGCGGTACCCATGAGGGCCACTCGCTTCTCCTCCCCCTCTGCCGCCGCCCGCAGCGCCGCCACCGGCTGTTCCACCAAGCAACTCAACCAGACCCGCAGCGCGGTGGCGCTGATGTCGACGGTGATCGCGTCCACACGACACCCCACCTCCCCCATCACGACGACCGGTCGACCACCACCGCCCCCGCGCGCCTGTGAATGCGCCGCCTTCTCCGCGGTCGCAGTGGTGCGCGACGGTGGAGTGGGGCGGTCATCGTCGTTGTCGTCTTCTCTTGGCTGCCCTTCAACTCCCGCAGCCGGACCTGTGCCCTGAAGCGACGAAAAGGCCAACCCGGCAGAAGACATGGCGGCCTTGGTCTTGCTGCCGCCAGCTGCCTCGCCGGTCGGTGGGGAAGACGCGCTGACCCCGTTAACCTGGCTCTGCTCTTCGCCTCGTCCTGTGGCGTTCCCCAAGTCACGTGCGACGCTCCTCGCCGCCACCGCCATGGAAGGATAGGTGACGCTCGACGTTGGAAGGTACAACTCCGCCTGCGCCACGGCGAGCAAGGGCCGACTGGGGCTCTTCACACTGGTGCACACGCACGAGTCCAGTGTGATGGAGCGGGCATCGGTGAAGCTGGACACGACGATGCCGCGTAGCTGCACACACAGGGCGTCCACACAGTTTTCCTCCAGCAGTGACGCCGGCCCCGGCGGCCCAAGGCGCTGTCGAGTTGAGTTCATTGCGGAGTTGCCGCGACTCCACGCGGAGCCGTGCGTCGAGGCCCGCAGCAGCGTGTGCAACGCCGGAACTGTCGTGGCGAGAAAGGAGAGAACTGACAGGGCATGTGGCTCAGCGGCGGCGGTCGACAGAACGCCCTCGGCGGCTATGCCGGCACGTCGGGCGGCGGTGTGGACGGCGGTGTAGCGCTGCCAAAAATCTCGCGCCTCACCCACCATGTTGAAGGACGACTCCACGTCTTGGAGGAGCACGAGACGAATACCTAGCTCCGTCACCTTCACCCGGTTCCGCAGCCGAGGGACCGCCTCCGCCGTAGGGTTCAGAGGGGAAAGGACTGCTACATGCGCGGAAGCCTGCTGTTGTGGTTGCTGTGGTGACACAACCTGCAACGGTGTTAACATCGACGAAGACGGTGTATGAGAAGCTTCGGATGCGGTCGGATTGTCCGGGCTTGGTACGGCCGCCTTCATGCACGGAGCGTTTACTGCCGACGACAGCAGTCCGTCTACTGTGTGGACGGAGCTGAGTGGGATAAAGGTCACTCCTTCGCCGCTTCTCGGGTTTGCCGTTGTCGCAGCAGCCGCGGTCACTGCAGGGAAAGGGGAGGGTAACGAGCGATGCACACCTCGAGAACTTTGACCAACCACTCGAGCCGGCCGTCCTGATTCGATCTTCTCGACCCAAACACGCTGCTCCTCACCGTCAAAGCGGTAAAGGTAGAGCGCTTCGCCGCTGGAAGTCGATGGTGCACGCGCCGCGTCCGACCCGCTCTGGTGCCTCGAGTCGTACGCGAGTCTTCTGGAGCTGCCTTGGTTTCTACCGTCGCGGTGACTAGAGAGTGGTGATGTTGGCAGCGGAGGCGCCGATGATGTTGACGGTCGAGGTGGTGAAAGCGGTGACCCGTCCTCCTGGTGAGGTCGATGCACACCATGGCGCACGAGGTAATAGACGTGTGCACCTATAGGGCGCGGCGACGGATCTGACGAGGCTTCGCCACCGCCCTTATCGTGGCGCTTACGCATCAAAGCGTCGCTCAACATCACGTAGGCAGAGGTGCTGAGGATGACGTGCACTGGCGACACCTCGAACACTGGGGCAACCGCGACGTCGGTCGTGTAGAGCGGTGACATGGGAGCTGCCGCCGTCGCAGACGAGCTACTCGAAGTAGACGGCATCGTGTGCAACGACGCCGTGGAAGCTGCGGGTGGGATCCGCCTAGACTGCGAGCCCTGCTTGCCGTCATCGTTTTCGGGTTTCATCGCCACGGCAGGTGTGCCAGACGAGATAGAAGTGCGGACACGAACAGGGTTCAGCAGCAGAGGCATACACGCCCCCACCGACGGCGGCGCTGGACGACGTTCCTCGCTGGCGCCCCTGTCGATCTCCTCCGCCCTTGCATCCTCCTCCTCCCCCTCCTCCAGGTTGCGCGTGAGGCGAGAGGAGTGCGTCGCGCTGGAGGCCTGCGTGGTTTCGCGTTGCAGGAGGGCGACGAGGTCTGCCTCGACCGACGTCCACCACGCATAGGCGTCCACCGAGTCGATATCCACAAAAAATGGCATGCTGAGCGAGAGAGGGTAGCGGGAGGCGCCGTCGCTGCCTCCGCCACCACCACCGGCAGCGTCCGTGCCGCATTGCTGCTCCCCCATGCTGTACGCCTCGTAGTCGTTGCAGCGCAGATTGTGCAGGGCGACCGTCAATCCCGCACGGACGTCGCGGTGCAGGCCGCTCTCCCATTCGTACGTGAAGCACGCGTTTTGAAAGAGCATCACCATGGGTGGGGAAAGAAAAGGCAGCAGCAGCTGCGTGTGCACCTTCGCGTCGGTGGTGCCATCCACTTGGGGAGGGACGCAACAGGCGTACTGCAGCCCCAGCCGCCGGCTTTCGTGCTGGATCACCGCATTCAGCAAGGCACACTGGGCGTTGCGAGCCGAAAACACCTTGCCGACGGCGGCAAGCGTAGCACAGGACTGCATCTGCACCAGGGTGGTCTCTTGGAGCACCTGCCCTTGCAACGCCGGGACGACGAGTCGGCGACGGATGCCCGCTGCGGAAGGGCCTTGCTGTCGCGTTTCCAGAAGCACCCCCGGCACAGCAGTTACGCCTCCTCTGCCGTTTTCGCTAGCGCCTCGCAGCGACAGCACCGAGTATCCTTTTTCGCACAGTGCACGCAGCTTTTTCAGGGATGAGCCGGTTGCACCAAGTGGTGTTGGTCCGTCCAGCAACTCCTCGTGCACGAGCACTTCGAGCTGTGGGATGCGCAACGCATTGTACCCAGGCGACGCAGAAAACACCACCCCGTCCCACAACGCCACCGCCGCGCCGGCAAAAGGGAGGTGGAAGACGATAGGGGCGAGCCGCACAAGCGTTTCTATGCAGCGCGTATTGCCTGAATTGCTGCCGCTGTCGCCGGTGGCGGTGTCTGCGAACGGCGGTTTTCCCGCTTCCCCACCTGCAGCGCTGCAGAGTGGGTCCCCGTGATGGATGTTGCTCGTACTGATGTCATCGTTCGCAAAGGCGCTCAGTGTTGAAAAGAACGCGACGTTACTGGTGGAGAGCGGGATGGTGTTGGCGGGGTTGAAGTAGGTGAAGAAGGTAAGCCACGCTCCCACCTCGACAGGGTCGCGCAGACAGATGTGCAGCGGGCCCGGCAGTGCGCCGCTGCCCGGCACCGCCGTGCCGCTGAGTGAGACGGCAAGTGTGTCGTTCGAAGCGCCAGGGCGATAGGGTGGCCGGCTGTCCATGGTGTACGTGACGTGCACTTGAATGGCGGAGGAGTGCGGTGGATCCTCTTCGCAATCTGCAAAGGCGGAGAGCATCGGCGAAACGTGCTTGCTTGCTTCGTACGTCTTCGCGTTGGCTGAGTGTCCTTCCGCGGCATTGAGGGGGACAGAGGGCGTCTGCTCCCGTGAATCAGTCGTGCGGTTGGAGAGCGAATCTGATGGTGGGTCAGTGGCACGGGTGGGTCTGCTTCTTACCGCCGATGCGTGAGGTTCAACTTCGTCCTCCAGACACTCCGTCCTCGTCAACTCTCCCTCTGCCTTTCTGCCGTCGCCCTTCGCGCTTCCATCTCTAGGTCGCTTCCCTGCAGCGGGAGAGGCGAATAGCGACGTCGTGACGCCAGGCATCGTCATGATACCTCGCACATTCACCTCTACGTACTCGTCACGGTTCAGCACAACCACGTCGCACTTCGGCACCGCTGCGTGCAGGAATAGTGGTGCGACGCTCCCTTCGCCCCAGGTGTAATACAGTTCCGAGTGCTCCACCTCAACGCGCAGCGTCACATCCGATGGAAACACCGGAGTGGTGTAGATGGAACTTGGCTCAAGTAACGCTGTTGCCGCTGCGCTTTCGCTTTGCGCAGCAGGTTTGGGAAACGGCGAGCTCTGCGCTAACGCGGCGGCGCCGATTGCCTCCAAAGCCGCCGAAATGGGAGAGCGCGGCGGCAGCGTTTTGCCGGGACGACTCGGTCGTGAGATGAAGTGGACCCGGTTGCCCACATTGCGTACTCGCCCGAGCGGCAGCGACGGGGTGTTGAAGTTCGTCCACAGCGCCATAATTGTGGGGATGTGCGCTACAACGGCGGCCTCACGCAGCGTTACAGCGATGTCGACCCGGCTGTATGGAAACACCAGCAGATCCGCTTCGCTTGGCGCAGAGAGGCGAAGGTTGATTTCCGCCCGAGTGCCTTCGCGCGAAGGCAGCAGAGGGATGTGCGCCGGTGTGCCGCGCAGAAACGCATTCACGCCGTTTTGGAGCAGCACCGCGACGTCCATGCGTTTATCGCCGTAGCGGTGAAACGTAACGTCAAGACATTCTTTCCCAAGCAACTCTATCGTAAGCGGCATCGGAGGAACAGGAATGACAAACGCCTTTCGGCTTGCCTCGTCACCGTTCATGGCGGCTGCGTAGCCAGGGAGCAACGTAAGATCACCGCCATCGCTTTCTAACAGAAATCTGGCGTCGCTGCCGATGAGACGTCCGCTTATGTGAGGAGTAGTATACTGGCGGTCTTCACGTAGATGCACGTGGCGGTCCTCGTCTTCGAAGATAAGAAGCATGATTACGTCGAACAACGCTTCCGCGGTGGCGGCGAGCTCATCGCCAAGACACAAGGTAACATGATTGAAGGCGAAGAGAAAACCGATGCCGTTGCCTTCGATGTTGCCTGCAAACGGTGACTCCTGAAGGAACTCGTCCGCCCATATGTCAATGTCGATGAACGGATCTTGCGGGTGCGGAGGTGCACTGTGACACCATCCCTCCGTCGACCCTCCCGCCGCGCTGAGGTGAATATGCCATCCGTCTGACAGAGTGGCCTGTATATCAAATGCGTCCAAGGCGAGGGCCCCAAACTCGATAAACCCAAAGTGTACAGATACTTTCACAGGGGTGCTGCTAGTGTCGTTTTCCACACTTTCTTTTTCGACCGATTCAAAAAACGACAACGACTCTACGATGACGTTGTCCGCTTCCCTCTTCCAACGAATTGCCGTCGCGCTGATGAGCAGGTTAACGTACTCAAACTTCTCAATGTCCGTTGACAGGGACGCGTTGTCTGTTACCACGTTAACCATGACAGACTCTTTGCTAAATGAGGGCGCTACGGTTACAGAGTACAGTTGTAGAAGGTTTGCGCCGTTGACAGTTGACACAATCTGCTGTACCTTGACCACAATGGGATTATGCGGTACGAGCGCAGACTTTAAGCTTTGGATGCGCAGCGAGACACCGTCTGCACTGGCTACGATGGACTTCGCCGTGATAGTGTAGTGCGAAAACGATTGTTCTTCCGGAGGTTTAAGCACTGTTGGAGCATCTTGCGGTTCCGCTGGCGTATGTTTTGATTTTTGGAAGCGTTGATGCACAAACGGCTTTACAGCAGCAATGTAGGAGACTAACTTTGAAAAGAGCATTTCCTGAAAGGAAAGGTCAAGACACGTCGTAATTGCTTCGATTGAAAGCTCACCGTTAACGGGAGCAGAGCCAATTTTGGACACTTGGAGTAATGCACCTGTGTCACCGCCGTTGCCTGTGATAGACAGAAGCGGACTGTCTTCTGAGTTTTCCGCAATAATGGTGACGGACGAAACAGACAGCTGCCCCTGCATGTTCTCACCCTTCTTTGATGCCCCCACAAACGAATTAGCTATCATGCTCTGCAAATTCTCGTCCAGCTTCATGATGAGACGTGCACACTCAATCGTCAAATTAACGTCCATGAGCGCCAATGACCGTTTGCCAGGCTGAACCACCTTTTCGCTTGGATTATCTGCATGTAGACAATAGTATTGGAGATATTGCGTGTACAGCGTCCCCTGCGGTGCTTCCTTGTGCGTTTCGTACTGTTTGACGTACCACCTAGCGGCATTCCAGCACGTCATCACGTCGCGTACGGGAGTACATGATAGCTGCTCCTCATCTACACTTGTTTCGAGGTAACTCGGCAGCCAAGGCGCTTTTAACAATATCAGGCAGTAGTAGTAAAAGTTCGACAGGAATTCTTTTCGGTGCACAAAACTGTTCCAATTAAACCGGCTGCGTTCACGCAATGCCTTTTGACAGTCCACCACTTTCTGGACAGAGTACTGCCACCATTTTATTGTTCCACCCTGATCACCTTGACGTAGCCGGCACTCTGGACGTATGCTCCACGCGTACGCTCTTTGGGGTGCAAATCGCACCCCTTCAGCAAGAACACCCAGGGCAGCGACGCAGTGCGGATTCCAGCTGGCGCTATTTTCATTCATTATTAGTGTAATAGCGAGAGAAGGCGTCGGGCGCACAGGAGCTTGGATGTCCTCCCATGAAACAGTTAACACGCCCTGAGACGAGCGCAATGCTTCTTCAAAGCGGGTAAAGTCTTCTGCGGAGCTGTTGCGCTGTGGTGCCTGCGCGTCGGCTGCATTGATTTGCGTGGCGTTTGCCGCAGCGTAGAGAAGTTGGATAGAAGCATTTTCATACGAAATCAGGCGATACAACGAGATGGCTGAAGAACTTTGTTCTTCCGGTTGAATAAATATAGGGGAAAATTCTGAATCAGTTGCCTCACAGCTTACTTTTCCAATTTGTGCTTTCACACCTGCGCTGCAACCCTGCCAGCAGCCAGATTTATCCTCCAGTTGAAAAGAGACGTTTTCAAGGCGAAATGCAAGATTCTTGAGAATTGTCTGAGTGAGGCGGTGAAGAAATCCACTTTTCGTTTCCTTCTCTGTCTTCTCTTCCTTGTTTTCGTCGGCTAGAGTTGCTTGTATAGCGGCAAGAAATTCTTCTTTCGATGTAAAGAAGGAAGAGGAGCTTGTCTGTCGACCGTACTTTGGAGCTACCACAATGGCCACATCGCGGATGATCACTTCGCATCTTCGGCTGTAGAGTGAATGCCATGGAATGTTGACACTGAGGCTTCCTACCACGCCACTTTCCAACTGAAAGTGATCAGAGAAGGATAGCAAATCCGATGCCAGCTCGACATTTTTGAGTTCAAAGGATCCCCTGAGCAGGCTAAAATTGACGGAGTTCTTGTTCAAGCCCTTGATAAATTTACCTAAATAGGTAGAAAGTATGAATGCGATATACCTGGCGAATACCATAGCTCATGATGGAGAAAAGAAAAATCTACAGCAGAAAAAAGAGAAAAATAGACAAGACACTCTTGTGTCTTTTGTTTGTTATTATGAGTGTTTTATCTTCGATGTGCGTGTTTTGTTCTCAGTCTAGAAATGTAGCTATGTATAGGAGAAATAAGGCTGTGCTTTCAGAGACTTTAATTCAATGATAGTAGAGAAAAAAATAACAGGAAGGAGTATCATGTGATGAAAACGAGCGAATAAATAAGCAAACAAACCAACAACAACAACATCATAAAAAAAACCTCTTTCACACACACACACACACACACACACCGTATATAACGATAAAGCGCCGAAGTACAACGTTCAGGTGACCAGACACACAAAAACAACTATTGATAGTGTGTAAAGCGAGGAAAATGAGGACCCTCATAATTCGAATGATCGTCACGCATGAGCTAGAAAAAAGGTTTCCTTTTCTTATCATAGTAATAGTCTATACGGTATCCGCAATTTACTCGGAATAGAAATAAATGAAAGAATCACAAAGGTGCAGAAACAATAGAAACATTCATAATCAGGCTACATGTCTGTAGGGAAGAAAAAGCGAAATGCGCCTTTGCTGCTTTCTCGTTACTCGTTCGACTGAATCTGTGAAATTGGAAAGAAACAAAAAAGCCAGAAACAGAAAGAAAAGTGCAGTCTCTTTCCTCCGAGCAAAAACGTTTTCTTTGTATGCGTGAAGGCAATGCCTTGTCGACAGAATGAGAATCTACAGAAGAAGCTCTGAAAACAAGCGTCCACAATAGATGCAGGCTGATACAGGCTTGTCGTCATGTTTTAAGCGGATGAGCTTTCCGTGCTCATCTGTCAGTTTTTCGCTGAAATGGAGCATTTTACCAAAGTGCTGGGACCCAGGGAGTGTGTTGTATTGATAACCATGCTCGACTCCGAGATGCAAAAGGTTTGTTCCGTCGGCGGAGAGGTGAGCGAGGTGGGAGTACAAAATATTTTTGCCTGTAAGGAGGTGCCAGTGCACCTCGATGCATTCGTTGTCGCATTTTTCTGTGCAGGCGTAGACTCTGCCGTGCCGCATTGTGCGAATGGTGAGATCCTTTGCCTCAAAAAAGCTGTTGCGAATTCTTCCTGTGTTAAGCAGCGTTTTTCGCACGGCCTCTTCGACAAGTTTTCCTTCTTCCATGTCTTTTTGAGTGTCTTCCTGCTGACAATTAAGACCGCCCTCCCTTCCACATTCCTTTCCTTTTGCGATGCTAGACTTCACCGTGACAGGTGGGGAGGGTGCAGGCACACTGGATGGGCTTGCAGCCTTTTTTGCGGCTAAAACCTTTAGCTGGCTGAGCTCATATTTAGCAGCATCCATTGCCTCTTTGTCCATAAGGTTTTCAAGCTGAGAGAACACTTCATCAGCGTGTTTGAGCGACTCCGCCGTGCCTTGAAAATCAAAGGTGTCGGCGTGCTCCATGAATCCGAGAGTGTTAAAGAGGTACCTAACAAAACCGTTTGGCAACGAGTTTGTCAGTCGGTGGAGTGCCTTATTAGTCTTCTTGACTTGTCGGTATTTTGGATTCTGAAAGTCAAGAAGCAGATTTGCTAAGAGTCGACGGAAAACGCTGTTGATGCATTCATGTATAACAGCCGAATCCGTGGAGGCACACAATGCTACCCACTCTTGCGGAATTGTTACAGTAGCCATGAGTAATAGAGTAGCAAAATGTTGACAATGCTGAGATGTAGTGAAGTACCGTTTCAGCGGTTCAATATATTTATATATATATATATATATACAATAGCTGACTTGGTGGCAAGTAAAAACACGACTAGAAGAAGAGTAGGGCAATGAATAAAACGGTGGAACTTCAAAGAATCGACTTGGAAAGTACTCGAGGACGCAATGACATCTTGCGCAGTTCGGAGAAACGAAGAAAGGGCCTTCTTTTTTGAGTTGAATGCTGTTAACCAGATATTGCTTAAAGAAGGGCTGATCTCTTTTGCTCTGCCTCTGTTACAACACTTGTTTTCCTTTTCCGGAGCACGGTCTTGAAGAAATACAGTCAATTCTTTCGGGGTGGTGGAAGTGAATGTCGACCCTTTTTGCTGAGAGAGGTGCGGCTTTGAAGATGTATAGCCCGAAGTTGCGCTGCGGGGGCCAGGTGGCTTGAATTTATGGTTTCCACCATTCGTTCGTCGTTTGCTGCTTTTGAGAGCGATTGGGAAAGCAGCCATACAAAGCAAAACAGTGTAAGTGCCGCAGCAAGAGGGAGCCAGAAGAAGAACGGCGAGGGGGAAGCATAGTTGACTGAAAGCCGTTCTTCATGCACATTACTGCTTCTTGTTGGAAGAACCTAAAACCACGTGAAGACTTCCACAGCAAGCGTAGCGATGGTCGTCTAGTGGTTAGGACATTCGCCTCACACGCGAGAGATCGCGGGTTCAATCCCCGCCCGTCGTACATTTTCAATGCTGGTGAAAGCATTGAATGGAGGACTCACGGAACATCCTGGCTTATCACCATCGGGGAAATAGTTCAGTGGCAGAACATCAGATTGTGGCTCTGAATACCCGGGTCCGATTCCCGGTTTCCCCTCTCTTTTTTCTTCCGCCGGCGGCGCGCCGGGAAAAAGGGATGCCGCGACCCGGGATCGAACCAGGGACCTTCAGATCTTCAGTCTGACGCTCTCCCAACTGAGCTATCGCGGCTACGACAGTTGTAAAACCACTACTTGGCTTTCAACTGACCAGAGGAAGGGCGTAGCTGGCCGCGTTTACGAGTTCCGATGTAGTATAACGGTTAGAACACCTGGCTTTCACCCAGGAGATCCGGGTTCGATTCCCGGTATCGGAGTGCCTTTTTGTTGCCGCGAGGCGGCGCGGCGAGGGAGACGGGGGCCCCCACGAAAACGGCAGAGGTGTTTTCCTCCACTTCTGAAGACGATCACAAAGAAGTGCAGGGGAACGGTTCCTAAGAGTTTGAAAGACAAGGACTTGGTGGGGGGATTAGTGGGAGGGAAGTCAGATTCTTTTCTGTCCGCTTTTCCAGTGCACTGGAAGCGCATGCTTGGTGTCACCCTCAATTGTGATTGCTTTTGCGTTTTGTTGTTCTACAACTGTGCAACGGTAGTATGAGCGAGTAGCCTATTATCACGGCTGTTTAACCGGGGGCGGATGAACGACTTCGTCAACGAGCTGGTGCGAGTTTGTTGCAAAAAAGATACGACTGACAATATCTACGCTTCTGCTGAAAAGAGTTGAAGGAAAAGAAAGTAAGAAATCATCAAAGGTATCCTCTTTATTTCAGCTGAACAGTTTCTATATTGGAACTGCTTTATTTGCTTTTCCTGTTTGTAAAATACTTTTTGGACGGTCCGCTGTAGAACCGCGGAAGGAGAGACAGCGTCGACTTCACCCTATCTGAATTGTGAAGTTTTTTTTTGCTAACTGATGAGATTGTCGTCCTTTTTCTTTCACTGAAACAGTTTTCTACAACTACAGAAGCGCTGATTAGTATAGAAGAGAAACCATTTAACAGACGGTAGAAAAGAAGCAAATGTATATTTTAGATTGATAAATGAAGGGAAAAGCAGCGTTTTGGATTTTCGAAACGGAGATGATGATTGCTTTCCGGACACGGATTAGGTGGAAATAGCGCGTCTTGTCCTGAAATACACGCGATAAAACAGGTTATTGGACGCGTTTTTGTCGTATCTCGCCTATAAACAGAATAGAACGTTATCGTTTCAGTTGTACATCGTGTTTCAGTTTTTTTTTTGGTTTTCATCTGAGAAGACGTGGGTTGGTAGCACATTATTCACACATCAAAAATCACATGTTGCTTATAGTGAATGCAACACTGATGAAACGAGGAATAGCAGCTGAAAGAACGGACAAGCTTTCTCAACCGACGTATTGAAAAATAAAGGAGTCTGGGCTTTATTTATTCAAGAAAGAACTTGGTTTTGCGCATCAAACGACCGTAATGATTAGTACCAAGGAATTGAAAACAATACAGAAACTCTAAGACTACTAAATCCAAGAATTGAACTCTTTTTCCCTTTTTCTTGTAATTGAACGCTACCATTTTTCTTTGCTGTTGCACAGAAGAGCGATGAACGACGATATTGTACGCTTTTTTGTCCGTTCAGGGCACTATCGGCCTGAAGTTATACGTCGCATTGTAATTGACATAGACACATTGTGCAACTCACTCTGCTTTTTGCGCAAAATCACGAAATGGGGCACACTGGAACAGCCGAAAATATGCATTTACGGCGGGTTGCCAGTAAAATTCTCGGTGATTCCCAAGGGCGAAGGCGGGGAAAGCATCAAGGAAAAGGAGCCACAGCTCCAAACGTTCATGCTTCCGATTCAAATATGGCTTTCACATCAGTTTCCCATTGAGCCGCCGTTTATTTATCTCGTGTGCAGTAGTGCAAGCGAGAACCCCAAAATACCAGAGGGAGTGGACACGTCTGTGATAAAAATTGTATCCAATCACCCGAATGTCGATTTTACCGGGCTGTGCTTCTGCAGAGAATTAGCGGAATGGAATCCATCTTCCTCATCGCTGTGTTACACCATAGAGCGCTTTAGCAGAGCGCTTGAAAGAAGCTCACGCTGCCCTATCTGCATCGACGAGGGGACAAGTGGAAGCTCGCCGGCAATCGACGGAAACGAGAGTGATACAGATAGGAAGAGTGCGACGGATGACATTATAGCAAACTCTTGTCTTGTTTGCTACGGTAAGAAAGACACTGTTCTCATCCCCTGCGGGCATTATTGTCTGTGCGTTTCGTGTGCTGTGAATATTACAGAATGCCCTTTGTGCCGTGCGAAAATTATGCTCCGGCAACGCATTTTCGATTAAGGATTCTGTTTGCAAGCTGGGGTGTCGTCGTTCTGGCACAGTATTTGTTGGCGAGGTTGAGACGACTAGTTGAGTTGCACTTTTGCATGTCGAGGCGATATGAATTGTATATTTATAGGCCCATTTTGTGTACAAACTCAAGGGAGAACATATTATTAACAATGATAACTGTTATGATTGTCACTGTTGTCTCTGTCGCTCTTATTGTTTTTGCTTAGAACTCCTTGTATTTATCAGAAAACTTGCCTTGTAGTCTCTATGACTCTATGGAATGAAACGAGGTGCTTTTCGTACACGCATTGCTCTTGTCTTTCTATTACAGCTTCTCAGATATATACAATTTCAAGAGGTCTACGTAGCCTTTCTTCCGCTCTTCAAAACTGAACCACAAACAACAGCAAAACTGTTGGATGTAGTCGCTACTGAGGAAAGAGAGTAACAATACTTGAAAAAAAAGCTCCTGTAATTGCTGAGTCTTAAGCAAGAAATATGACTTTTTCTAATGGACATAGCTTGCACTGTAAAAATGGACGTGTTATTTGTTGTTATGCACTTTTAATATAGTGCCACCTTCATTGAATAGTAGGGATCACCAGTGAACTCAATGAAAGTTTTTTTTTGTGCTGGCTTCGTTGTCTTCATCGGTTTGTCCTTGTCTGTTTTTCTTCTCGAATTGTCTTGCATAATTTTTTTTTTCTGCTCTGCCATAATTAAAGTAGCTCGTTGTAACCAGAGCACAGAATTAGGAAAAATAACATAGGGTAGACTAAATCAACGTTGAACACAAATAAAACTATGCCGTCCAATAAGGTCCTTGCCATTAGTGGCGCAGTCGTGGCGACAGCGGCAATTATCGGCACCGTGGCGGTTGTGCGCGCGCAACGAAAGAACAACGAGGAGGACGACGATGTGTTTTCAACCCCATCAAGCAAAGTTTTGCAGTCGAAGAGGCAGCAGCCCACCGCTGCGCAGAACGCCGCACCGAAGGCTTCGCCGAAGCCCGCCGCTGTTGAACCGGCGGCGACGAAGGAAGCTCCTTCCGCGGTTGAAAAGGTGAAAGTCGTCGATGGCCCCGCAAAGGTGGAGCCAAAAGCACCATCTGAACCAGTCGCTCCTGCGGATGCGGGGATCTCGCTGCTAGATGAGGCTTTGAACGAACTGGAGCCGGCCGCGCCGGCGGCTCCGCCCGCCCCTCCTGCTCCAGAGTCCAAGATAGAGAGCAAGACTGCGAAGCCTCCAACCGCGGTGGACTTTGCCGACCGTAAGGCCTTCAATCACCTTGGCATCGCCATGAAGGTGCCGAATGGCTGGGACGTACGCGAAGAGCTGTCTCCCATTCCCAACGTTGCGATGGTGACGGTGTGGAACCCGGAGTTCGAGAACTTTCCCAACGCCGAGATGCCAGGCGCTGTCCCGGTCATCATCCTGTCGGTAGAGGACATTCGCGGAGAGAATCTGAATCTCACTGAGTTTAAGGAGCGGTCGAAAGATCTGTCGATGCAGCAGATGCTCATGATGACCGGCGGTGTCGTGCAGCCCATGGTCCGAAAGGATAGCAGCGTGCAAGAAGGTCCGTTCCGCCATATCTTAGAGTATGCGCAGAGCATGCCGCCGTTCTTTGATCTCTCGGTCATCAACCTGCTGGAGGTGCGCAACGGCGTTGCGTACGTTTTTCAAATCATGTGCAACCCGAAGATCATGAACGAGTACCGACCCATCTTTCTGCAGCTTGCCCGCGACACGCTCGTGACGCCGATGGACTCCAGCGCATTGGGCTTCTACCGTGTCCACACCGGCGAGGTGGCGGTGGATATCGACACGACATGGAGCTGGTCCTACCCTTCGGCTGATGAGACGGCTTCCAGTCCGTTCCTCGCGCAATTTCAGCTCGCCTCCACTGTGAAAAAGGAGGAAGTGACGCTGTACGAGGAGGACAAGGTGCCAGTGACGGAGCACAAGCTGCGGAACAAGAAGACGGTCGACGGCGTCACAATTTGCTCCGCGTTCGACGGGGCACAGGAGAAGAAGACGCTGTCGTACAACAACTACGTTCTCGTGGTGCGCCCGCAGCAGAAGGCCATCTCGTACTTGTCGGAGACCAGTCTCGTGCGGACCATCAAGAGCGTGGCCCCGTCGTCAGAGGAGCGGCGCCCGAAATCCGGCGCTACGTTTGTCACTCCTGAGTATGGCTACCAATTCGACGTGGTGGGCGGGAGTCGCGTGGTGTCGACGAAGCTGGGCAACGGCACCGTCGTGTACGCGCCGCAGGGTATCCCTGCCGATCCGTCTAAGGCAGTCTCGCCCGAGGAGCAGGGCCCGACAGTCACTATTCGCATCGGCAAACCGGAGACAGACCCGGATTGCATGGGAAGCATCGCAGAGTGGCGCAGCCGCATCGAGGAGGAGGCGGCAAACGGCAGTATTACCAGCATCCAGGTGGTGAACCTGAAAGGTCAGGAGTGCCTCACGTTCATGTCGAAGGAAATGCAGGAGGTATCGCCGAACGAGAAGGTGGAGGTGAGGGGCAAGGTGTTCATCTTCGTCCGCGACGGCGTAACAACGCTGGTGCGTTGGGAGAGCGCGACCGGTACGTGGCGCAAGTACGAGCGGGACATGGATGCGTTCCTCGCCTCGTTCGAATTCATCGAAGACTCCGCGTAAAACTGTTTCTCTCTTTCTCTCTCTCTTTGTGCGGTGAGACAAAGAAAAAGTAACAGAAGTGGAAGATGGCAGCTGTAACGGTTATTATGGAGAGCTGGAGTGTGAAAGCGGCTGTAAACCCAACGTGTGGAAGCATCCCACCAAATGAAACGTCTTTTCTGTTTGTTTGTTTGTAAAGGATGAGCAGGAGTGAAAGAAATGGTTGCCGAGGGATGTAGTAAAACACAAAAAAACAGACACGTTGGGTTGCCTCATATCTCGGACTCTCTTTGCTTAAATATAGTTTCCAAATTACTATTCACATATGTTTTTTCTGTTTGTTTTTTCCCCATTTTCTTTAACGTATCACACCAGCGCACGAGAAGGCGCTTTTGCGCACTCTGCAAACGCGCTGCATTTTTTTAATTTGATTGATGAGGTGTTACAGCAGGCATCCTCCTCTTTTGTTCGAGCAGCGTCGAAACGAAGCTTATTCTCCCGCACCAAAAAGAAATAAAGAAAGAAAAAAAAGAGGGTGCTGCAATAACGCGTCTACTGCTGGCTCATCTCCTTCTTTCATTTCTACAAGAAATTCAGGAAAGTGAGAGTCATGTGCGTTCGAGTGGCCTATTTTTTTTTCGTTTTCTCGCAAAGCTCGTTGTAAACACAAAAAGGAAAACTACTTCATGGAGGTTCTGGTGCTTTGCGCGAAGGTGTCTTGATACTTCTACGCAATGAAGCAAGCGGTCTTTCGGATTTTTTTTTCCGTTGTTGCTGGTGCTGGAAGCTGGTGAGACAATATAACATGTCTAAGTAAAAGTGAAGTGGAATGCGAATGTAATAAGAACTGGAACCGTTACATTCCTTCCCCCCTCAAATTTACAGGTGTGTGTGTGTGAGCGTTCTTGGCTGCAGGTTCGAAGGTTGTTTGTTTGCTCTTCCCTTTTCTGTGCCTCCCCCCCATTTACGTGTTCGTGTCGCTACGTGTCTGCGTTGTTGAAATTCGTTGTTACACGTGTGTTTTAATATTATTTTTGCTGCCGACGCTATTCATTTTTCTCATTTGATGTTGGCCCTTCTGTGTTGTCTTTTCTACTTCGCTGATAACAATTGTCGAGCATTCATAAAAGCGATCTGCCGAATCAACACGCACTCTACACAGCACCGAACTCTCCTTCATCCTCGAGGGAGAGTGATGTTGGCTGTAAAGGCAATGTAGGTATGCAATTCAATGTGTGTCGACTCTCAAACCGCCGGTGTAGTAACAGGAACCCGTTTGACGGGGCTTGTGCCGCCACGGCATCTTGGCTTTCTTTTTTCTGTTACTTCCTTCGCCCCACTTTTCCGTTGCCGATTCGCATCGTCTTCTATTGGAGTCTACCGCTTCGTACAACCTCAAAAAGTGCAAAGGCTGCCGGTCTCCTTTGAGATTTCTTTCTTCGTAACCGTTCTACTGATTTCTCCTTCTTTTCCTCTCTGCCTCTCTGTCTGTTTCTCTTTGTTTTCCTTGTATCTTTTGGACGTATATAGCTTTTTTTCTGCACAGTTTTTTTTTCTTTAAAACCACAACAGAACATTGTTCTTTGTTTTCTTTCTGGAATACTACGAAGAGGTAGACGTGACGCGTTTGAGGCGAATAATAACTATAACGATAGCAACGGCACACCCAGACTACAAGCCGCAGCAAAGCGGCGAAACCGTCCCACTCGAAGCTCTAGAGTATTCTCAACAGTAATATTAGTTAAAAAGGGATTTGCGTATTTCGCTTTACGGCGATGTCGGCTTTGATTCGCGATCGGCAAATGCGTCGCCTCGCTCTCACCGTCGCGGCTGCGCTTCTGCTGTGCCTTCTCCCCTCTCGTGCCGACCAGCCGCCTTGCCAGGTGCCGAACTGTCGCACCTGTGCCGCAGACAACGAGTTCTTCTGTGAGGTCTGCAGCAGGCCAGAGTTCATTCACGCCAACGGGCAGTGCTCGCCTCGCGGGACGTGCAGCATCACGGCGTGCGAGAAGTGCGAGGAAGGCACCATTAGCCGGTGTCAGACGTGCGAGCCCGGCTACGTGCGCGCCGTCAACGGCCTCTGTGCGTCTCTCGTCGAGTGTGAAATGGACAAGTGCACCTCGAGGGAGGAACTGCGCGATCGAATTGCCCAGACAACGGTGCAGTGTAGCGTAGCAGACACAGTAAAGGAGAAGGGAGTGTACGTGTGCGTGGCCTCGAAAGGTGGCGGCGGATCTGTCGCCGCTGGCTCTTTTTGGCAACGCGCGCCGTGGTGGCTCTACGCGACTGTCACGACCGGCGCGGCAGTGGGACTCGGCTCTTGGATTGTGTCTCGTCGACGCAGTAAAGCTTAGACGAACCTTTGCGTGCATGTTTCTGTTTTATTTATTATCATTATTTTCAATTTTCCACTGCCTACCAGCAATACTCTTGTTGACCCTCTTTTTTCTCTATTTATTTAGCTTCTGAGTTTTCCGAAACGACAAAAAAAAAAGCTGCGTGTGGCGCACCTTCCCGTTTCCCAACACTTCTCGTTTCGTTGCTCGTTTTTGTTTTTCTTCAGTAGATATCCTCTTATGCGTTGTTTGTCTTTGTCTTTTTCTTTTCATCTTATCCTGCATGTAAATGACATGTTGCGCGTCACACTAGACGAAGAGAAATGTCCGCCTTCCTGATGTAACATCAGCCTTTTTCTTTTTTTTTTCCCGTTCTTTCGGGTTTGTCATCGTTTCGCGGCACCGCAGCAGGTTGTAGTTTCCAATGCTGATTGGAGATGAACCTCTATTTTTTTTGGTTTTGCACGTGTGTGTGTGTGTGTGTGTGTGTGTGTGTGTGCACAACAGCGTTGCGCGCGGTACTCTAGGTGTCGAAGCTGTGAGGCGTGCGAATGCGTGAGTAAGTGTGTGTCGTGTGTGCGTCGACCGGTGTAGCGGGAGGAGGCTGCGACGCGCTCTTAATGCTGATGGACTCTGTTTTTTGCCATGTACGCTCACCGCATACTTTTCCGCTTTCCGCGTGTCTTCTACTGTGTTGCTCCCATTTTTCTTTTCCCGTTTCTCGTTTCTTTCCTACCTCAGCAGCTGAGAGGTAGCGCACACACGCCAATCTTTGCTTTTTCACGCTGTCCTCTCTCTTTGCTTTGTCTTCATTTACTGAGATTATTATTACCGTGTACGCGTTGCAGAGCACGACGTTGCGTTCATGCATGTTTCGTGTCTTTTTGTTTTTCTTCTTCTTCTCAGCCGCGGTGGTCATTTGCGCCTTCGCATTCGGTTGGTATTTTTCTTATTTTTGTTTTTGAGGTATTCAGCTTTTCCCACTTCTCATTGTCCTCATCGCACCAGGGAATGATTTGACCATACGTATGTGCACAGCCTTTTCTTTATCGCTTTACCTGTGCCGCCCCCTCCTGCCCCTCTCTCCACTGTCCACTGTTTAGGCGCACGCAGTCTTCTGAAAAAAAAAAATATATGCGATTCCCATAAATTGAGATGAACGTTGCAAACACGCGTACATGCAAACTAGCAAATAATAATAGTAATAATAATAAAGGCACGAAACTGAATCGAAGAAGGAAAAAAGAGATGTGAGGCGAATGAAAACGCGTAGTCATTGCGAAGAACGCGCGCGAGAGAGGGAGATATAGCACGGCGGGTCAATCTGCGATGCCGGTGCACGTGCGTCGTGACGCGTGTAAAACCGAAGGAAAAACTGGAAAAACAAAACAAAAAACACAAACAGGTAGATCTCATGTGTTTTCTACTTCGACTTTTCTCTTCCACTTCGACTCTTTCCCTCTCTCCTCCACGACTCTCACGGTGATCCCCTTTTTGTGCGTTGAATGCGTCCTTGTCATGCGCATTTCTGCTTGCCCTCAATTATCGTTTCGCCGCCTGCGCTTCTACACCCACGCACACGTTGCCTCTGCAACGTAGATTAAACACCACATCGATCTTTTCGTGTTACTTCACATCGCCGTCTCTCTCTCTCACACTAGAGTTATCCTCTCTTCACCTTTCTTGCAGCGCTTCTCTGTTTCTGCCCTACATCGCGAAACCTTTTCGATTAAAAATAAAAGTAAAGAAAAGAAAAAGGGAAAACAATGTCTTCCGTGTCGAACAAGTTTCTCGTGGCCGTGCTCGCTGTGCTCGTGCTGGTGGCGTCCATCGCCGCAGCACAGGGCTCGGGCTGCCAGGTACCCAACTGCGACGCCTGCTCCCCCACAAGCGAGTTTCAGTGCGCGAGGTGCGCGGCCGGCTACATCATGAACGGCGGCCAATGCTCCCCTGCGACGTACTGCGGCGTCACGAACTGCATCGCGTGCGTGAGTGCGAACCCTAACCGGTGCGCGACGTGCGAGAAGGGCTACATGATTACGAGCAGCGGTCTGTGCGCCGCGAGGCGGAGGAACGCTGCCGCGGCCCCGACTACTGCCATGTGGACCGCCGCCGCTGCCGCCGCCGTTGCCGTTGTGTACGCGCTGTGAGAGGCTGTGTATGTGGAGGGGGCGCTGCATATCCACGTTCCCCCCCTCCCTTTCCTCTTCCTCGTTCTCCGTCACCGGGGTTGGGGGATACTCATCCGTAGGTGGAAAACAAACGGATCAGCCACAGTAACAGAAAAGCGTGACCCTGTTTTAAGAAGTGAAGGAAGAACGAGAGAGGTTGAAAAGAAAGAAAAACCGGCACGGCTTCGTTTCCATGCGTTGCCGTTGCAGCACTTCATCTTCTTGGGTCCTTTCCTCAACGCACCCCCCCGCCCCGCCCCGCCCCGCCTGTTCCCTTTGGCTTTCGATCTTCTTATTTTCCCCCTTTCATTTTCATTTTCTTTTTTTATTTCCTTTTTGTGGTTCTTCGGTGTTTTCTCACCTATACACTTCATTGAAGTATGTGCACAGCTGAAAAGGAGGTGCATTGTAGACGACCGTGGGCACCTTTTTCTTTTTTCCCTTTCTACTGCGTTTCTCTCGTTTTGTTTCTAATTTGTGTACAGCCACGAGCATTTTGCTCACTTGTTTGTTTTTTTCTTCTCTTTTATATTTATAAGTAGAGGGGGAAGAAAGAACAAACTGTGTTCCCCTTTCCTTTCCTTTCGTTTCGTCTGTCTTTTTCTCTCTCTCTCCTGTCCGCAATTTCAGTGAACCGCTAACACGGCGGAGACGGTGCGCATGCCCCTCTCTCTCCCTCATTTTTTTTTTCGCTGTTGTTGATGTCTTGCTCTCTTCTCCGTTTTCTGGCCACAGTTTCCTTTCTCTTCTTCTCCTTCTCTACTACAGACAAAGCAACCACATCCTCTTCCGTTAACTATATATATACCTTTCTGCATCTTTTCCTTCAGTGCTTTATTGAGTGTCTTTATTGCCCCCTCCGAAGCGCATTTTCCTTTTAGGGATCTTGCGTTCCGCGAGATTGTTGGACTGTTTTCGTTCTGTCGTTCTCTCGCGTCTCTATTATATCTGTTTGCTGAAGAGACGCCGCCTCGTCGAGGCCTTTTTTTTTCTCTCTCAGATCCCTCTTCCACCTCCCTTCAGCCGACGCGCTCGCCAAAGAGCCGCCGCAACGACCTTGGGAGGCGGGCAGAGGGCCTTTTGTACGTTCGCAGAGAGAGGGGGAAGGGGGAGGGAGCAACGCTCACATCAGCGACGAAGCGAGCGAGTGTGCACCGATCGGCTCCTCAAATAGGCAGGTATTAAACGACACTTTCCTTTCCTTTTTTTCTCCACTCGTGATGAATGCGTTCGCGTGATGGAGAGAGGAAAGCTGAAAAACAAACAAAACAAAAAAGAATCGCACACACACACACCTAAGAAACATCAAGGAAGAATGGGAATTGCAGGTGAAGGAGCCGTGCACGACGTAGCCCATTTCTTTCTCCTTCTGTTTCGTTTTTCTTTTTTAATAAAGAAAGCGACCTCCCTTGTGTCTCAACAAGGTGCGTTTTTTTTTCCTTTGTAGCTCTCCTTTTGATTACTCCCATTTGTGTAGTTATGTGTGGTTTATTTACTATTATTATTATTACTATTTTACCGTCCATGTGGTGCAGTCTCGCAACACATGTAGGAGTTCAAAAAAAAAAAAGAAAGAAAAACGGAAAAAGAACGAAAGAAAGGACGCAGTTGACAAGCCGGAGGCAGAGGAACAGAAAAAAGAGAGCTGTGTACCCAACTGGCACACTAGAGTCTCTCTTTCTCTCTTTCTCTCTTCTCTTTGTGCTCCCTTCACGTGCGTCAATGCTATTTCCTAAGTCTTCAACATCTTTTGTGCTGTTTGTTCGCCATGAATCTTCAGCGCCGCAAGTTTTTTTTTCCTTTTTAATGAAACAAGCGGAAACAAAGGGGACAAAGTGGATGGCTTTTCTCTTTGACCCTGCGTGGTGCTACGCGCTATATCTCGTTATGCACTCTGACATTCAAAGAAAATTGTGCTTTCTTTTCCTCGTTTTTAAGTTACGATAATCATGTGAAGGGAAAAGGACAACCAAACAGCAGCGGCAGCAGAAGAGAGATACAAAACGGAAAAGGTTTAACATCGTTATTTTTCTTCTTGAGGCATTTCAAGGTTTTCTGAGGAAAATAAATATAAGAGTCCGTAAAGCACACTTCTATCAACGCTAATAGCTAGTGAGAGGAAACAACATGCACTTTCCTTCCCTGCGTCTTGGCAGTGCGGCGGTGCTGAATGACTGCCTTGCTTTCACGATGTGCTGTACGTTGTCACGCAGCGCGTTCGCGTTGTGCATCCCTTTTGATGCTGTGTGTATGTGAGTGTGCGTGTAGGTTTGGGTCTCACGATCGCGGGTGACAGCTCCGTGCGCTGTCACCTAGCCGCTTCATGTTCACGGTTCTTTTTCACGTGCCTTCCATGTTGCCTCTGCTGTCTGCTCACGTCTTCCTTTGCTTTCGTGTTTCGTCCTGTCGCATCGGTGCTAAAGAATTCTCGCTTGTAACACTCCTTACCACAGCCGTGCGACGTATCTCATTCACTCGCCCTTCTTCATTGTTCTTGCTCCTCTCGTCATCCCAGTCAGCAGGATTCATCATGGCCGCCTCCACCACGAAGTTTGCCCTCCTCGTCGTTGCTCTCGCCCTGCTCGCCTCTTACGCGAGCGCGGCGTGCGCCATTGCCAACTGCCTGAACTGCTCGCTCGCGAACCCGAACCTGTGCCTTGTGTGCGCGGACGGCTACCGCCTGACCGGCAGCGGCAGCTGCGTCTCTCGGGTTGGGCCGAACGGTGCTCTTGCCCCGCAGTCGATGGCGGTAGCTGCGGTGGTGGCGCTGTTCGCTGCGTTGACGTACGCGCTGTAGAGTGTCGATGCCACGCTTGCAGCGGCAGCTGCGGCGAACGCAGCCGGTGAGGAGAGGGTGGAGAGAGGGGAGAGATCAGCTGCGTCGACGTACTTCCTGAAACTGATGCGGCGCTGTGTGTGTGCGTGTGCGTGTCCACCTCCCCTTTTTCTCTTCTTTTCAAGGCACCTTGGGACTATTTTTTACTATTATTCATTTTCTTCATTCCCCTTCCCAACGTCCGCCGTCTCCTCATTTTTAGTTTTACTTTTCACTCAGCTTTTTGTGTTTGCGCTCTCTGTGCGTTTCAGACCGAAAGCTGTCTGGACGATGACGCAGCAGAACCCATGTGAACACCATGAGACACTTTTTGTTTCTTCTTTTGTTGGTCTTTATCTTTTCAATTTCGCCATGTGAACAAACCCTTTTTTTCTTGTTTTCTTCCTTTGTTTTCTTTTTTCTATGAACAGCAAAGTGCCTTCTTTTTCCTCTCCTCCTTCTCCTCCTGCCCTTTTATCATCTGCATGTTCGTCGTGTGTACGGTTGCAGTGTGCGAGGTGGGCGGCGCGTGTTCTTCCTGCGGCGTTGGCGGCTTATTATTATTATTATTATTATTTTCTTCCTTCTCACTCCGCTGTGGTGTTTGCTGCCCCTCTCCCGACCCTTGCCCCCTCCACCCCCTCTCCTCGTATGTGCCTCCGTGTGCACCGGTGGAAACGCAATGAGTTGGTGGGGTGGGGGGTGGGGGTGGAGGCACCACGATGAGACGGCCCAGTTGGCCAAAGTAGGAAATAAAAGCAAAAAAAGAAAGGCAGAGCAAAGGGTGCAGAGAAGAGAAGAGGAAGAAGAAGAATGTGCAAAAAGTTATTGGCGTGGCGAAACAAGTACGTCGAGTGACGCGGCCTTCGAACAGGAACCGAAGCAGCGTGCTCTGTTTCCTTCCTTTTCTGATATCTGTCCAGCATGTTTTCTTTTTTTAATGATAAGCTGTCTCAAGTGGAGCAGCAGGAGCGTGGAGACAGGACGTTCACTTCACGGCAAAGATGCCTTACAACGGATCAGAAGGAACGTGTCAAAGAAAGACAGCAAAAATCAAAGTGAAACAACTCAGTAGAACAAACGAGGTGCTTCGTGGAAGCAAAACAACCGAGAAGCACCGAATGACTGCCTTGCTTTCACGATGTGCTGTACGTTGTCACGCAGCGCGTTCGCGTTGTGCATCCCTTTTGATGCTGTGTGTATGTGAGTGTGCGTGTAGGTTTGGGTCTCACGATCGCGGGTGACAGCTCCGTGCGCTGTCACCTAGCCGCTTCATGTTCACGGTTCTTTTTCACGTGCCTTCCATGTTGCCTCTGCTGTCTGCTCACGTCTTCCTTTGCTTTCGTGTTTCGTCCTGTCGCATCGGTGCTAAAGAATTCTCGCTTGTAACACTCCTTACCACAGCCGTGCGACGTATCTCATTCACTCGCCCTTCTTCATTGTTCTTGCTCCTCTCGTCATCCCAGTCAGCAGGATTCATCATGGCCGCCTCCACCACGAAGTTTGCCCTCCTCGTCGTTGCTCTCGCCCTGCTCGCCTCTTACGCGAGCGCGGCGTGCGCCATTGCCAACTGCCTGAACTGCTCGCTCGCGAACCCGAACCTGTGCCTTGTGTGCGCGGACGGCTACCGCCTGACCGGCAGCGGCAGCTGCGTCTCTCGGGTTGGGCCGAACGGTGCTCTTGCCCCGCAGTCGATGGCGGTAGCTGCGGTGGTGGCGCTGTTCGCTGCGTTGACGTACGCGCTGTAGAGTGTCGATGCCACGCTTGCAGCGGCAGCTGCGGCGAACGCAGCCGGTGAGGAGAGGGTGGAGAGAGGGGAGAGATCAGCTGCGTCGACGTACTTCCTGAAACTGATGCGGCGCTGTGTGTGTGCGTGTGCGTGTCCACCTCCCCTTCTTCATGTCCTTTTTGTTTTTTGCAAAGATATGTGTTGCCTCTCTTTTCCACTTAATCATCCTCATATTTACTTCCGATCTCTGGCTTGATGTGCGCAAAATAGCCCGCTAGCATTGTTATTCTCTTTCCTTTTTTATTGTTTGCGTAATGAAGCTTGTGCAGGTGGAGACGGAAAAGTGTTGAGTGTCAGCGGGAGACGTCGAGGACGAGCTCCACAGCAACGGCAACGGCGTGGTGCAGTGGAGAGACCGCACCCCCCAAGAAAAGGACGAAGGCGGCTTTCGCCGGAGACTACCGAGGACAGGCAAATCCAAGCAGAAGGGCACGACGTTGTAGCTCGACTCAACACAAATGCTCTCTCGCTCGCTGGCAATCTGCATTACACGGCGCCAAAAGAAAGGAGTATATATATGTGTGTATTGGCTCGTCAACGCGGCCTTTTTATGACTCCGTTCCCTCAGGTCGTCGATACGTGGCGGCTTTTTATTTAATGTTTCTTCTTGCTTTGTTTTTCTTCTTCATTCTTCATGGCCATGTCTGACACGCTTCTATACCAAGAGTGTTGATGCTCCGCCGCATTTTCTCTCTTCTGTTTGTTGTTTTCTTCATTGTTTTTCTTTAGGAAAGCCCAGTATGTGTACAACTTCTACGCAGACGTGCTCCTTCGTCAAATATATAGGTTTCTCTCTTCTTTTTTTTCTCAGAGGGAGCATGCGTGCGTGCATATTTTATTTCATCTGGCGTTTAATGCTGTGCACAGACAAACAACAAATACTGCTGTATCGGTATATATATATGTATATCAGTGTTTTCCGAGTCCTGCGCAGCACAACGGTGAGGGGTGAGCCGTAACGCATAGAGTCAAGGACAACAAAACAAAAGGGGGAGCATCTTTCAGCCTTCTTCGGACCTGTGCTACTCGCAGCAGCAACGGACACAGGAGTCGAACTCGCTAATTAAGGAGCGCGGGATGAAGGCGAAAAGACCTTTCGCACGCACTGAAACTGCTCCCTAGGATGACAGTTTTTTGATGCTCTGACTTGATGTCGCTCTCTCCAACTCCCCCTCTTTGTCCTTTCCTCGCATTTCCTCTCCTCGCGTGCTTTGATTTTTGTGAACAGAGGTGTTTCCCCAAGGCAGAAACAGTAGCGTTAAGAAGAGATTCCTCTTTAGAGAGGGACATATTTAAGACGAAACAGTAATAATAAAAGGATGTGTGTGTGTGTGCGGTATGTTGTTGCAGCCCCGGGAAGCATTACACCGTTAATTGACACCGTCTTGTGAGAGGGGCGTCGCAGCTGCCGGTTAAGCGGCAATGGAGTCGCAGGTACTACAATCGCCGCCTGCACAACATCCGTTGCAGCAAGCTAACCCCACCGCGACCCGTCGCGTGTGAGGCACAGGGCGTCAGGATGACTAGCTGGGTGCCTTTTTTTTTCTAATGGTTGGCCCCCGGCCCGGAGGACCTCCACAGCACGCGGATAACCATTCCCTTTCGTTTCCCTTTGGCGTTGTGTGCTCTCTGTGTGTGTGCCGGCCTGCGTCGCTCTGACACACGCGTCTGCGGTTGCTTCTTCCTCGCCTGCAGCGGGAGCGATCCACCGCCTCCCGCCGCGTGCCGCACACCCAGCGACCCCCGTCGCGTCCCCCCTCCCGCCTCTAAAAGTGCCGAGAGAAGGCGTCAGCCGGATTGCGCTCGCCCTCGACGTAGCACAAGACCACATCGATGCTTCTCTCGCGCCACAGGTCGTAGGTGTACTCGTAGAGCGTGTTCAGCGAGTACCCCCGGCCAATCCCACCAAACCCGTTCAGGCGCTTCTGCGCGTGGACGATAGGGAAGTGGTCCGTCACCAAGGCCACGCGTGCACCGTCCGCGAGGCCTTCCATCACCAGGCGGCGTAGGAGCAGTTCCGCCGCACGAGGTTCCGCGTGTGCAGAGTGGCGCGCCATGAAGCTGTCGCCGCCGTCCTCTTCCGTGTACGCGTCGTCCTCGCTGTGCCCGCTGTTGCGTGTGTTGCGGGTGACGTGCAGCGGTGGCCGCTGCTGTGTCCCGGGTGTGTCGTCCTCGAACGGCGGGAACTCGCCCGCGAGCTCGTGCACCCAACGCTGCTGGTACAGGTCGGTGCGCCACACCGCGTCCGCGAGCCGGCGCTTCACCACCGCGCCCCAGCCGCCCACGGACGCGTCCGTGTAGCACACGACGTCGTAGTCCGCGTCCTGGTACGTCGGGCTTCGCTCGTCGGCGATGGTGCTCCACTCGTTGCGGAGGAGTGTCCGGCCGAGCTGCATCATGCTGGCATGCACTCCCGCATCCAGGTAGGGCAGCTCCTCGTCCCAGTCCAACCCGCGGCAGACCATCCGGTACACCCCGCGATACGCCCGCAGTAGCGTGAAGGCGCGGGCAGGGTTGACATGCTGTGTCGTGTGAATGGCATACAGCATGAGGGACACGAGGGACACAAAAGACCGGCAGCTGAACCGTCGCGCGGGCAGAGCCAACGTCAACTTCGCCACTGTCTTGACGGAGTTTCTCACCACCCGCTCCGTTCCGGTCCAGCGGTACTCCTCCCCAAGAAAGACGTTGTTCTCCTGCGCCCTGTGGAGCAGCGCGTCGTCGGACATGCGCGCTAGCTCCTCCCGGTCCGGAGACGTCAGCAGGTTGGCCGCGCGGATGCGGTCCACCACCTGCCGCACCGTCCTGACGAACGGCACCTCCTGGCCAGTCCTCGCCGCGATGAGGATGTTGTCGATCATTGTCATGATGACAACAGGCGTGTCGACGTCCACGATCGTCCACGTGACGGCCTGGCCGACGGCCACGCTCCAACGCGCGCCGGTAGGCAGTGTACGCAGGCGGTAGTAGTCGCCCGCGGCAGAGCGGAAGACGAAGCTGTTGCGGAGCGTCCCCGGCAGCGGAATAGCGTCGTAATACGCTTCGAAGTCGATCTGAAGCATATAGCGACACCACCGCAGCGCCTGGCGGCGTGCGAGCCGTGTGGGGTACTCCACGCGCGGGATCTCCTCCTTCCGGATGACGGAGTTCAGCAGCGGCTCCGTGATGAGCCTCCGCCGCCCCTTCATCTCGGGCACCGCGAACACGTTCACGCCGTGCACACCCTCAGGCAGCACACCCGCAGCTCGCCGTCCGTTCCGGCGTCTGGTTCCCAGCGGCCCGTCGCGACCCCAACAAGGTCCGGGGCACACAGCTCAAACTTGCCCATCTCGACCGCCCGCCGGATGTCCTCTGCCGGCAGACGCGTGGGCTTGATGGTGCGGGACGTGCGCAGCCCGGCAAACTGGGCCGCGTCCATGTATCGCAGCACACGGCGTAGGAAGTGATGTGTCCGTGTGTGCGCGGTCGGCAGCGTCTTCACCGCCTCGATGCACAGTGGCGTTGTGGCCTTCAAGTGTAGGCGCCACTCGCTCGGCGGCGGCGGCCGCACCGGGCGCGCCACGCCTTGCATGCGCTGGATCAGCACATACAGCTCCCGTGCATCCACGCAGAGCTCCTTCGCAGTGGGCGCCCGAGCGCCTACTGCGGTGATCCGCGGAGGACCCGGCCGGCGCTGGCCAAGGCGGTTTCGGCCTCCGAGGTTAGTCGGAGGCCATAGCCCAAGTAGCGATGGAGTGTGTCTACCCGGGTGTGGCCCGTCAGCCGCATCAGCTGCGCCTCGGGCACGCCCTGCGCCGCCAGGTGCCGCACCGCGCCCTTCCTCACGGACGGCAGTGCTGCTCCCGGGCTGATCTTCCGCAGCGCCGTGCGAATGCGGTCGCGCAGCTCGTTGCGGTTCTGGAAGAGGCTCTGCCGCGGCAACCTCCGCGCGAGCACTCGTGCCAGCTGCGACGCTGCCTCCCGCGTCAGAGCCGACGCACACGCGTAGGGGCCGCGGAACTTCGCGCCCTTGCCGCGGCGGATCGTCAGCACCACCTGCACCTCGTCGCCCGCCACTTCCACTGCGGCGTCGTGCTGGTGTGGGTGTGCGGTCGCTGCGCCCTCGATAACCCGCACGTCCCGTGCCTGGAGCGACCCGATGTCGCCAGCCCGCGCCGCAAAGGACCACATCATCGCCAGGTAGAGACTGGCGTCCGGCGACGTCTGGTCCAGCAGCCGCATCGCCTGCACGACCTCGCTCAGGACCACTGGAGTTGGTGGCTGTGCGATGGTCTCCCGCTCGAAGCGGTGCGCTGCGAGCGCGGCCGCGCGCCACTCCGGCGACACGGTGATGTCGATCCCGCGCGTCTGGTTCGTGTAGAGCGGCAGGTTGGACAGCGCGCCACGGATGGCCGAGAAGGCCTTCGCCGTGGTGGACCACTTCCACCGCCTCGCCCGCGCCATGCGCATCACGAGGCCGATGGCTGCAGACGCCAGGTCCTGCCCCAGCAGGTCGGCAGGCATGGCGCGCAGCTCGTGGAGCCACTTCAGGTGGAGCCCTCGCATGGCTGGCGTGAGCGCCGTCCATGCGAGCTGGCTGACATGTGGGGGTTTGGCCGTATAGATATACCAAGTGCGTGGGCAGGCCACCACGGACCCCACGGCCGTGCTGCCCAATCCGTTTAAAGGCGCTGAGGACTTGTCTTTTGCGGCGTCGGCGGCGTACATCAGCGCGCGCCGCATCTCGGCCGTCATGTCCAGCTCCGCGTCGGCATCGCCCTCGCCATCGCCGCCGTAGTAACCGCGGCTACCGTAGCCGCCACGACCGCCGTATCCGCCGCGGCCCATCCGTGACTCCTGCACGCGAGTGGGTGGGAGGGAGCGGTTGATGTTGGCGCGCAGGCGCCGCAGGTCGTCCCTCTGGCCGCGGATGCCGGATGTGCGCGCCTTGGCAAGGCACGAGCGCACCTCGTTCACCACTGCGGCACCGACAGCGTTCTCGCTTTGCCGCAGCTCGTCGAGGCGGCGCGACAGGTCGCAGAGGAAGACCTCGAGGTCGCTGAGGTCGACCGTGGCGACCTTCTCTCCCTCGGCGTTGTACAAGGGGGCCTGGTAGCCCCCGCCAAACAGGGTGGTGTTCTTGCGGAACAGGCTCTCGCCCGGCCGCATGCCCGTCGCCGCCCCACCGCTCACCGTGCCGGGAGCCTTCCGCTGCTCCACGGCCTCGCTCAACAGGCGCTTGTTCAGCGCCTGGAGCCGCTCCCCTGTTGGGTGGTTCCAAATTGGGAAAAGAGGAACCTCCAGGGAGTCGATCACGGGGCCATAGCGGTCCCGCTCCATCGGCTCCATGTCTTCAAAAACCAACCAGTTGTGGAGCGGCAACCGGTCGTCGGGATCCATGTTTCTCAGGATCCCCTGCAACGTCACCAGCCCGGCGCGCATCTCTTCATACTCCGTGAAGAGAGTGTACCGGGCCAAAAACACCTCGGTGGTGGTGAGGAGGCCGGACTCGGCCTCCGAGATAAACTGGCGACGGAGCGTCGCCGCCATGGTAAGCGGGTTTTCGCCCCGCTTGGCGATGTTCTTGAGCTGTGTCTGAGCCCAGCGGCGTCGCCGTTTCCACGGCTCCAGCTCTTCCTCACGCTGCGTGCGGAAGAAATCGGAGGTGCTCTCCTCCGGCGCGTGGTTCGTCGTGAGGGGAACCATCTCCCCCACCATCTTCGCGAGGGCTTTCTCGAGAAGGCCCTTCATCTCCACCTCCGAGAGCAGGCCTTCGCGCTGCTGCTCCTGCAGCAGCGCCTTGAACGTGTTAAACTCGGCGGATGCCGAGATCTTCGCCTCCGCAGAGGCGGGCACTTTCTCGACGTTGGACGTCTTGCCTTGCAGGAAGCTGCCACCCCAGATCTCGCGCCGCGCCGTCTTCGTAACCGGCGTCGGCCTCTGCGCCACCTGTTCCGCGTTAGCGGTTTTGGACATTTGTGTAGATGTGTAGTGGTGATGGTGTGGGTGTCAAAACACAAAATGAAAAAAGAGCGAAAAAGCCTCCCCTGTAAGCGAGATCGACGACACCAAAAAGTGGTGTGGCGGGTCTCGTAACGGGTGAAGTAACGTATATGTGTATACGCTACTAAAGTCCAAATTCCTTGAATATGGGAGGGATAAGGACTCACTAGGTGTTTCTAGCTCAGGGTTGGTGCGCTAACACACGTAAATAGAACAGTCCGAAAAGGGAAGAAAAAGCCGAAAAGCGCTTGGACGGACCGTAGGGCTCTAGGCTTTACGGTTTTCTGTCACGGAAACTCTTTGTAGAGGGGTATCGCCTTCTCTCAACCAAAGAAGGAGTGGGTACCCGTAGGTGCCCCTCGTGCGCCAACCAGCGCAGTGTGTGGAGAGGTGGTCTGCGCGGTGGGTCACACGGTCTATGTGTGTGTGTGTGTCTGCTTCGCCTGCGGTGTGATACTGAGTTGGAAAACGAAGTCAAATGATGTGGGTAGAAAAGGATGGCAAGTCAGCTCTGCATTTGGTAAAGCGAAGGTGTTTTGAGCATTGGAATCGGCACTGACGCTTTGGTCATGTATTACTCCGTTTGTTAGATGGAATGTGGCAAAACACCATATCTGTGTTCTTTACTCGCTCCCTCGTCTCCTCTTCTGATTCGTTTCTTACGGCTAGCTCAGCCAGTAGAGGTGGCCGGACGGCACAACGCGACAGAGATTTTTCCTTTAAACGACAGGGGCGGGCTGCTACCTGGGGGTCCGGCCTGCCCGAGAACGTGGTATATCCACCCAGGGAAGCCCCCGCACATCAGCCAAATGGCCTGGTCCGCCGTATCAGAAGGTACGCGGGCAGTACACCGGCGGTGGCTGTACGAGCTGCGCGCACTACCGGCCGACCTACTGAGCAGGCGCAATTTGGCTGCGGCAGTGGTAGAGTTTGTACGCCGCATCGCGGTGACAAGACAATGGAAATGGTCGACCACCGCGAAGGCCCTGGCGTCCGTCAGTGGTGCGCTGCAACAACTGCCCCTCTACACCAATCAACGCGAACCGATACATCTCAACCGCTACCCGGAATGGCAGAAGACAGTGGCCGCCGCGCAGCGTTTCGACCGGGAGAGTGTCGCGGCTCCGCCGTCCCCTATCACTCAGGAACAAAAGGACGCGGCGCAACGGAACTCACTACGGCAGCGCGATCAGGAAGCTTCTCTGTTCCTCGAAATGATGTGGGCATTTGCGGCTCGCGCGGGCGATTTACGGACTCTGCAGTGCAGGGATGTACGCTTCACGGGGGAGGAACCGCCACCATTTGTGGACGGAGGTGTGACAATATGGCCAGATCGGTATGGCGTAGTCCTGACAATGAGACGCGGCAAAGGGGCACGGTTCCGAGGGCCGTATTCTGTTCCGTCAACCCTGCCGCGCGAATCGGCGCTGATTCTCGCGCACCTCCTCCGCAGCCGGCGACCTACGCAGCACCTGTTTGCTCGACCGACCGAAATCACCGACACCATCCGCACGGCCCTGCGCCGCGAGAACCCTTTGGCAGCACTACCGTCAGTACGCAAGGGCGCGCTACGCTGCATGGCGGCGAACGGAATGGCAGAGCACGAACTGATGATCATGTCAGGTCACCGACGCGCCGACACACTCCACAGGTACCTGGGCTATGGCCACCAACTCACGACGGAGGCCGCAACCGCGCAGGCCAACGCCAGCGCGGCCCTTTACGAACTGAACAGTTCGGCCTAACCGCACCTACAACGCAAGACTTAGCTGTCGACCCCACGGAGGTATATCGAGAGATTCAGCGCCTCAAGGGCGCCCACAACGCACCGCCGTTACCTCCACCAGGACAATGGCCGCTACACCTCAAGAAGACAACTCCGCTGAACTGGAACGCAGTTTGCGACATGACAACTACCAAGCCAGAAACACGGGCTTTCCTCGGACGAGTGGGGATGTTTTTCACGCCTGAGCACTTCACCGGCTTTAGGACATCGAGGACAATTAAGAAATGCCACTTGCCGATGGCAGATATCGACCGAGCAGTGGAGATGGGGAAGATGGAACTGTGCCCCGCAGCCGACAACATCGAGGGTAAGCACCTCCCAGAAGGAGTACACGGCGTTAACGTTTTCGCAGTACCGGAAATGAAGGGCAGGAGACGACTCATCACCGAACCGCACCTAAACGCGTGCCTCCAGACGAGCGACATGCCGAAAGTCCAGTACCCAACGCGCCTAGAGCGAAGGCAGAGTTTGCGGAACAAGCGGTACATGCTTCAAGTGGATTTCGAAGCGTACTATGACGCCACCCCGCTCCCTGGTGAGTTGCGAAACTTCTTTGTCTTTCGCGCCCGCAACGGCGCCTACTTCCGTCTCTGCACACTGCCTACAGAAGCACGGTGGAGTGTCGCAGTGGGTCAGGGTATTACGTCAACAATAGTCGACGTCGATACACCAGTAACGATCATGACTATGATTGACAATATCTTGATTGCAGCGGACGAAGGACAGGAAGAGGATTTTGTGTCGGCTGTCCGCCGGATTGTGGCGCGTATACGCGGCGCCAACCTTCTCACATCGCCTGATCGCGAATCCTTAGCAACCATGGACGACACGTCATTGTTGTCGTTGGCTAAGGAACCGAACACGGTCTTTCTCGGGGAAGAGTATAGGTGGAACGGTAGCGAGCGCTTAGTGCGCAACTCGGCGAAGAGTGTGGCGAAGTTGATCGTCGCGTTACGAAAGCCCGCCTTCACAATTCGGTCCTTTGCGTCGGTGGTGTCGCTCATGTTTTACATGTTGCACACCACACTGATCAACCCTGCACGTGCATTCAGCCTGGCACGGGCCTACCGAGGGGCGGCCCGCCTGGTTAGCCGAGGGTTCGATTGGGACGACCCACTCCCTTTCCTCCATCCACAAATCCACGCCGCCCTGCACGAGCTTGGAGCCCGCTTGGTGCACAACCCGTGGCAACCCATCGCCAGGGAACGCTCCGCCACGTACTCGGAAGACAACTACGACGTGGTGTGCTTCACGGACGCCTCCTTAGGCGGGTGGGGCGCGTACGCCCACAAACACCTGCGCAACACGTCAAGGGAGGCAGGCTCCGTCGGGCCACTCGATGGCGCTGAGAGCATCACCGCATATCAGCAGATGTGGGTGAATGAGCTCGAGCAGACCCGGTTGCCACGGGCACGTGCACCCCTTCGGGGCCGCGACTCCGCGGAAACTGACGACCGACCGTACTTCATGGCCAAGCACTCGGCGCACGCTGAACCGCGCGCAGCCGAGTTGATGCTGCGGCAACTCGTCGAGGAGGGTTTACCGGACGGTGCGAAGATAGCGCTGGTAACGGACCATTTTCCCATCGTACACGCCCAAAAGCAACTCAACGGTTTCGGAGGGATAGGCCGAGGGCTGTCTCTGAACAAACTGTACGAGTACGCCTATGACGTGTTCTACGAACGAGGGATCAGCGTTGTCTTTTTCTACATCGCCGGACCAATGAACCCCGCGGATACGTTGTCGAGGAACTTTGGGGATTTCGAGCCGAGGCAGCGTGGGAGCCTGGCTCGCACGGTCGTAAACGATGTGGCCTTGCCTTTGCTCTGCAACACGTTCTCTCCGCTCTGTGAAGGAAAGGCAGAAGTGCAGGACGGATGGGCACCGTAAGGGAGCGGACAGGTGGAGTACTATGGGGGAGTCGGTGTCATGCCACCGTAAATCTTGCAACGGATGAAGTGCGACCGTAGGGAGTGACGAAGTAGCATGCGCGTGTGCCGCCCGTTTGAGGGCGAACACAATCGAGGTTCCGCCCCACTGGCGCCACTTGAATGCAACACGCGTACTTCCTTGATGCTGGGCCGTGGCGTTTGTCAACTGTTTCCTCTCCTCCTCATTCCCTTCGCTTCTTTATCCTTTTGCAGCGCATGTGTTAACAAGAAAGCCTCAAGGCCAGCTGTTCCTACATAGTGATCCTACATGCGCTGTTGTGCGCATGTACACATTGTTCTTCCTTTTTTATTCTTCTCTGTTTCTGTTGAGTGCATTCGTGCTCGAACCCATCCGTTCTGTGACGCCTCCCCGTCCAACGACGATCCAACGCAAACGAGCACAAGAAAGAAAACAGAAATGTAGCAGTGCGCGGCGCATTCCGCTTTTGCGGCCTTTCCTTTCCTTTTCGGCTGCGGCGCAAACGTCTGCAGGAACGATGGCTTTTTGATGCTTTTGCCCCTCTTCATCTCGTTCCTCTCGCTTTCCTCTCTTTGCGTGTGCGGGCGAAAAAGGCACTCCGATACCGGGAATCGAACCCGGATCTCCTGGGTGAAAGCCAGGTGTTCTAACCGTTATACTACATCGGAACTCTTAAAATGGCGTTCAAGCAAGGTTGATACGAAGAGGTCTTCTTCCTCGCGAAAACGTACGACGGGCGGGGATTGAACCCGCGATCTCTCGCGTGTGAGGCGAATGTCCTAACCACTAGACGACCATCGCTACGGGACCCATCTCCTGTTTTCGGCGACATACAAATTGAGAGGAAATGAAGACATCCCTTCCAAGTGCTTAGCGACGTTGTGGCGCAATGGAAGCGCGTCGGATTCCGGATCCGAAGGTTGTGGGTTCGACCCCCATCAGCGTTGCTTTTCTGACCACCTTCTGAAGTTAAAGGTGGTTCAAAGGCGCTGCTGGCTTAACACCGTCGGGGAAATAGTTCAGTGGCAGAACATCAGATTGTGGCTCTGAATACCCGGGTCCGATTCCCGGTTTCCCCTCTCTTTTTTTTTTGTTAGTTTTACGAAAAGAATGGGGTGATCAAAAGAGGAAGAGTGATTGGGGGAGGATGGGGAACAACGGCTCCGACATGTGCGGAGGACATGATCTCCACCACCACAACAATCGTAAGCTGTGAGAACTTCGATTCTGCACGCCCCGAAAGGTAAGGCGTGGGAGAGTAGCAGTATTCTTTTCCTTGTTGGGAACACGGATCGAACGTCAAGAGAAAGCGAGCAGGGTGAGCGAACAACGATGAACGAAGAGGTGAAGGAAAACACCTGTGAGAAGGAGGAGCGGCTCGCAGCAACGAAGAAAACAACACCTCCTCCTTCAAAAAGATAAAGAAGGATAGAAGAGAAAGACACACACGAGCGGAGGGCAAGCGAACCACACAGGACACCAACGCCATTTACGCCCCGCCGCAGCAGACCGCCATCGACAAGCCAACGGGGCGCGCGCCACGACACGCACTCACCGAAAGAACGAACGAAATAAAGAAGGAACAGCGTTCGTTAACAGCAACAGAGGGTTAGACTTCTCCTTGCCCGTGAACCACCACCACCACCAACACCGTTTTTACTCTCGCGGCTGCGGAGCCACGTTCTCGTCCCTGTCACTCGCCTCAGCACCGCTGCCGTTGCTCGGTTGCTGCTGCTGTGCGAGTGAGCCGTCCTGCGAGCCGGGCGCGAGTCCCTCCAGCTCCTCCACCGTCTTCCGCAACGCCTGCAGCTGCGACAGCGGAATGTGCCGCCGCAAGCGCAGCTGGTAGTACTGGGCAAACTGCGCATCATCCGGCGGGAAGACGTACCAACTCCGCTTCGGCTCCTGCAGGTGCTCGTACCGGTTCACGCCGTTCCGCTGCAGGAGGCACTCCACCGTGAAGGCGACGCCGACAATGAAGGAGAGGCAGCCCATCACGATAAAGACGACACCCAGGACGATGTTGCGGCCGCCCGTCCAGTTCCCGTTGTGCAGGACGATGCTCTTGCGTCCGCGGAAGGTGACCACGTCGTACACCTCCGTGATGTCCACCCAGTACACGCCAGGCGACAGGTCGACGGCGATGATGCGGTACAGCTTGTGGAAACTCGACACGAAGGCGGCGCGCATCCACACCTGCAGGTCGTAGTCGGACGGATCCGGCAACGCGTGGCCCGGCTCGTGCAGGTACCACCCGTTGCGCAGGTACTCGTTGGTCGTCGGATAGGGGTAGTAGAGCGACCACCAGTCCTGGCGGAGGGTCATGTTGTGGTAACGGACGTCCCGGTCCGCCCTCCAGGTGATGCCATCCTTCGCGCAGTGGTTCGGTGCGACGCTGCCGCCGAGGGGCTCGCCGCGGAGGCCGAAGTCGGTGCCGTTGCACACCAGCTCGAGGGCGGCCGTCCCGTCCTCGCCGCCCATCACCACCGTCGTGCCGGCCGCCGCCGCCGCTGCCGCCTCGGCCGCCGTCAGCTGGCGATAGAGCACAAAGGTGTCGTTGAACTTCGACCACGGCGCGATGCCACACGGGCTGTAGGTGAAGGAGGCGAGCGTCGTGTTCACGGCGGCGCCGCTGGCGTCGGTGAAGACGATGGGGGTGTCCATCTCGCCTTCGCGGAAGCCGGGGTGGGTGTAGGGCTTGCAGGTGTAGATGTTGCCCAGCTTCTGCTTCCCCGTCAACTGCGGGATTGACCGGCCGTCGTGGAAGTCGCGGTAGTTTTGGTAGAAGTTGTCCAGCTTGTAGTACATGTACACAGGGCCCTTGAGGTGGCGGGTGATGTTCACCTGGAGCCACGTGCGCGTGCCCTGTGCGTGGGTGGCGCCCTCCGCCGTGAACTTCAGCAGGCCTTGGTTGATGTTCACCGCCGGATCCGTCGGCACGTACTGGTACTGGTGGATATGACTGTACTCCGCCTCCACGACGCGGTGCCGCGGTCCCTCCACCAGCATGAGCGCCCCGACAACCACAAACGGGATCATAAACGCAAAGAAGAGCGGGACGAGCGGGAAGGGGGAGGGGTAGTTGAAGATGCCTGGCAGCGTTTGCTGGGCGAGGGGCGCACCACCGTAAACCGTCTTGCCGTACTCGGACATGAATTGCGGGATGAGTCGCTTCTTCAGCCAGTGACGAGCGCGGGTCGACCTTCTTTTATTCGACTTCGCGGTTGCTGCTGCTGCTGCGGTGGTGGTGGCAGTGCCGTCTGTCGCGGACTGTGTCGTCTTCCTCGAGTCCGCAGCACCGCCCTCGCCGTGAGACGAGGCAGAGTCGGACTCGGCATCGGAGTCCGCTGATGTCGTAGAGGAAGACGACGACGCCGATGACGAGACGGGCGAGTGGTGGAGTCGCCGACTTGCCGGCGATAATGCTGATCGGCGAGGCACATCCGCACCCACCGCCTGTGCGCGTACGCCTGGCGGGACGTCGGGGTCGGCGCTGAGGCTGGCGTTGTCGTAGGGGCCGAAGTCGCCCGCACCGACGCGCGTGTGCTGCCGCTGCTGGGGCCCGAGGAGAGAGGAGCTGGGCGACGGCTCGTCCACGCTCCGTGACGTCCGCGGCGTAGCCAACGGAGAGGAGCCGCGATGGTGCATATCTCAGAAGCAAAACGCTAAACAACAAAATTGAGCTAATACGCAATGAGGCGATGATTAGATTTGTATATAGATCTATATGTCTTCTCAAAAAGAAAAGGAAGGAAGGAAGGAAGAATAAAAAAGACGCCGCAGAGAAGAAAAACGCAAAGGTGAGGAAAACGCTTAACGAAGAAAGCGCGGGGGGTCAACAAAAGTAGTGCATAGACCAACGCAGAACGCAAAACAAATAATAATGATACTACTAATAATACTAATAATTATATTACAAACAGTCCAATTAATGCCGGGCGTGAAACTGGCAGAAGCCACCAAGAGCTTAAGGTATGTAACGTGCACGAACCCAGAAGAAGGAAAAAGAAAATCAGGACGTAGAACAAGGGAAAAAAAGAATACAATAACCCAAAGGAAGGAGACAATATGTATCTGCTTTTGAGGTGATATGTATATGCATGTGTCGATACAACCCAGATTTGCCAGCGCTACTTTGTTCCCTCTCTCTCTCTCACACACACACACACATCCCATGCACCTTCGTAGTCTGCCGCCGCCTACGCCGAATTCCTCCGCAGGAGGTGGGAGCGGGAGACACCACAAGCACAAACACACACACACACACACACACAAATAGGGAAAGACGGAATGAGAAATATGAGAAGGAATAATAATAATTAAAAAGCTCAATAAAGCGATCAACAAATAATGACGGGAAAGCACGCTGGTCAACGTAGAAGGAAGAAAGAGAAGAGGAGAGGAAACGAATGGTGCGGGCTTTGGATTGCGACGTCGCGAGCGGATTTTCTATCCAGCGGCCCCATCGAGACGAAGAGTGACCCACTGCAGCTTTCGACACGTTGATGGAGAATCTTCATTCTACGGCAGCACGCCTATAGGCGGGATTCCGCCGTTTGCATCACGGACCTCATGACAGCTGGCGAGCACGAAAAGCACTCGCCGTTCGTAGGGCCAGAGACGTATAAAGAACAACGATAGCGATACGTACTGAAATGCAGGTATGAATAGGGCAGGTAGGCCACTCGCCGCACGGCAGATGTAAGAAGAAAACAAGGACGCAGAGGAGCAATTAATAGGAATAATAAGAAGAGGCGCTGGGGCGGCGCGTGTTTCGCGCAGAGCTTCACACACACAAGCGCACGTCGCAGTACGTAACCGCCACCGCCGCCACTGCGGGCACGAAAAAAACTTTCCCTCTCACACAACAACTCGGAGAGGATCCATAAGTAGGAGAAAAGCGTAGCAGCACCGCGGCTGCGACGAGGTGGGTCGGAGTGGTCTTCCGAGCAAGGGATAGCAACGGCGGCAACAGGGACGGAAGGAAGGACGTAGAACGAAAAAAATGAAGGGAGAGAGAGAAGGACCGGAACAATAAAAAGAGGCTAAAGCCAAAAAAGATGAGAGAGGGCGTAGCCAACGGAGAAGAAATTCTCGGGCATAACGAGTACAATACAAGTAGAACAGACGCAGAGCCCGCTGGACACGCAAGTAACGGACCCCACCTCACATCAGTTGCACCGAGGGAGAGGGGGGACAGCCGTGCTTCTCTACCGCTACATCGTCATCATCCTCACCCGTCACGAAGCCGCGCGAGCGGAGCTGCACCCGCGCCGTCTGTCGTCCACGCTCTCTCGCCATCGCCAGCTCCAGCAACGACCGCAGTTCTTTTTTCTGCCGCAGTGCCGCTGCCTGGCGATCCTCCCAGGGCTGTAGCCGACCCTGTCGCAGTTGCGCATGTACATCTAATGCGTGATGTGGGCGGTTGCTGTCGTTGGTGTGGCACATAAGCGCAGGGCCAATGCGGCTGATGGGGGAGGTGAGGCGCGAGGAGCACGACGCATCGCATATCGGCGAGAGAGAACGAATGCCCACATCTGCACCCGCTGCGGTGTGCTGTTGATGCTGATGCTGCGGCAGTGTTGTGTGTCGCCGCAGTCTGGCGTCCCGCAGCGTCACGGCGTGTCTCTTCTCCTGTTGCAGGGCTTCGTAGCGTCTGCGCAGCTCGTCATTCACCCGGTCCGACGCGCGCAGCTGACGCACCAACAATTCGTGCGTCGTCGCCGCCTTCTGAGCCGATGTGTTCGTTGACTTGAGCGTCGTACTTCCTTCTCTTTCCACGCCTTTCGCGGTGGGTAATGTGGAGGCGAGGGCGGAGGACGGCAACGACACGCCAACTTCGTAAAGCCTGCAGCGGAGGTCCGCGAGTCGCACCGTCGCTTCGGCACTTCGAGCGGCCACCGCAGCCCGCTGCGACCGCACCGCGTCGAGGCGGCGCAGTGAACGCAGCAGCTGCGCCACACATGTCGTTTCTGCTGCTGCTGTTGCTACTGTTGTGTCATTGTGCGAATTCGCCGTGTTCGTGCAACGAGTGTGGCGGCGACCGAGGCCGTACGGGTCGCGCTGCTCTCCCACCACCGCTGGCCCCTGCTCGCTCTTGCTGCCGTGTTTTGTAGCCTTCGCGGTGCCAGCGGAGTGACGGCCGCCGCAACGGTGGTGGCAGTAGTCGTTGCTGCTGCTGCTGCTGGTTAGAAGTGGCACAGAGGTCCCATCCGGACAACGCACGGTGATCGTACCCGCAGGCTGCGGCGGCAGCTGGTGGGCCGATAGCGCTGCTGCTGATGCTGCTGCTGCTGCTGCAAGGTTCTTCCTTCCTTTGCGCTGAATCGACAGCGGAGGAGGAGGAAGGAAGGGGGTCAGCGGGGGTGCCGGCAAGGGACTCTGCAGCGACACCGACGTGTTCACAGGAGACTCATCGGACAGCACGTTGACGGAGACGACGGCATCACCCTCGTCGCTGCCGTCGACCTCCTCGCTTTTCTTTACAGCGTTTGGAGTCTGCGTTGATGGGGCGTGGACCTCGCCATCTACTCCGGTGTGTCGACTCAGCGTGTCGTCGACGTTGGTGTCGAGGCGCCGCTTGGCGATGCGGCAGCGTTGCTCTATCTCGGTCCAGTCAAACTCGCCTCCCATTTTTTGAATCGCTTCTACCTAATTGTGTATGTACGGTATGTAGGACTTCTGTTATGAGTTCTAGTTGCTTAAGGTTATATAGGCGTGAATACGTGTTGATGGTTCCTGATAGGGGACGGAGCGTCGAGTATGTATGTATATACATAAATGAACCAATGGAGATTATATATATATATATATATATATAGATTCGTTTACATACTTCCGCTGCTATTATTGCTGACCGTGCGTGTGCGTGTGTGTGTGTGTGTGCAAAACGCGGGGATGGAACTGGTTGGTAAGGGAGAAGAGAAATGGAAGCAGAAGAGCTCGAAGGAGGACATCTCTGGGGTTGCACGCAGCCTTTCGTTGGAAGCAATCAAACAACAGGACGCCACCGTAGTGAATACCTTGCCAGAGAACGAAGAAAACATGGCAGAGGTTTCTTCCTTCTTTTTCCGTTTCTGTTTTCCCCGCTTCGAAAGACAAACGTTGAGGATGGCACACACGCACACACACACACACACGGCGTGCGCACGCGTGTGGCTCTTCCCTGTCGTTTTCGATCTGTACATCATTTATTCCTTTCGGTCCGCAGACAACACACACAACAACAACAACAAGCGTTTAACACGGCAGTTGATCGCGATGTGCACGTCAACGAGGGCGTGCAAAGCGGCAAGAGAAAGAGAAGGGAAAAAAAAGGGTGTTTCGTGGAAGCGGTGAGTTCGCTGTGGCGGTACGTGAGCAGAGCAACGGCAGGTAGCGCACAGACGTCCTCGCGTTTTCTTTCTTTGCAAATAGTTACGCAGTTCGCTGGAGAAGGTAAACTGCCGCTAAGCGGGAGAAGCACACAGACACCCGCAAGCTATCAGGAATTGAGATAAGGGCAGAATGACGCAGCTGCGCCTTTCCCGATTCTCTTTCCCTCTTTCCCTCTCTCCATCGTCTTCCGTTCCTTCTCGGCGCTACACGCATGTGCGCCCCTTCATAACCCTGGTAGAGTACAGACACAGACAACCAGTGGAAAGGACGTTCGTGGCTCCGCTGAACTACTTGCAGAGGACCGCGTTGCATTGTAACCACCTTCCCTTTTTTTGTAGGGACCAACTCCTCATCTCCGTCTCCGCAGTTCGCCGAAAGGGGGGAGGGGGTATGAAACGTGCTAATGCTTCTGCGGCGGTGAGGACGGGATCCCGCTCCACACAAATTCGTTATCCGCATCAAGGCTCTCCACCGCCTTGGGCTGGATCGGCGTGTTCTTCTTGCGCAGACACGCCCGCGCGTTTCGGCGGATCTGGAAGTCCACGTCGGAGTAAATGCGGTCCCGCACACGGCGCTGCAGCGTGACGGACTGCCCCGTTGACTCGTCCGCGTACTCGAACTCGTCCTGGCCCGGCTCACCACCCATCTCGTCAACGCCGCTAGCTATTTTTAAAATATCCTCCAGCATGTCAAAGTTGCCGAGGATGTCGACGTGGCGGCCGCTGCGGGGGCCACCGCGTAGGTCGAGTGGAGAGGCGTCCGTCACGTTGTGGTTGTACTCCCGCGTAATGACGCGGCCCACGTTGCGGCTCCACCCGTTTACCGCCCGGCACATGTAGGCCAGCGACAGCAGCGGCACCGTCTCGTCGCCGTCGGTGAAGCGGACACCGTAGGCGCTGGTGTTGTCGAACCATGAGTTGTTCACGACGTAGCGAAGGCGGCTGTTTGGATCGCTGTTCTCTCTCAGGTAGTACCCTGCCTCCGCCGGTACGCCGACACCGTAGAGGCACGCCACGGTGGTGTTGGGTGCCTGCGGCAGCACCGGAAGGTCGTCGATCGTCTCCAGTAGGTAGCTCGTCTCGCGTGCGCAGTCCTCGTGACCCGAGTGGGTGCACTCGTCACGAATGAGCTCTGCGGTGCCACGCGTCGAGAGGGAGGTGCCGTTGGGCAGCACGACCAAGTCCGGCCACAGCTCCTCACAACCGAGTGGCAGCATCGAGACGAGGCAGCTCATGGTCCGCATGAAGCGGTAGCGCGACTCCTGGCTGACAAACGTGTCCAGCGCTCTGCGGGCGGGGGCCGGAATGCTGAGGGTGTCCTTCGCATCTCCAAACAGAAGGGATGAGGTGGCCTTGGCGGTGCCCATGGTAGTGCCGCCGAGGTTCACGTAGTAGGCGACGTGTCGATCCATGAACCCGCTCTCCCGCTGCTCCGCCCAGCGGAAGAAGGCCACCGCCACGGTGGCGCCGTAGCTGTGCGAGATCACCACGGCGCGGCGCCGGTTCTTCTGGCACAGAAAGCGAATGCTGTTGCGCAGCTGGAAGAAAAAGCCGTCCCGATCGTGCGCCTTGCGCGGGGAGAGGCGCCAGTCGTAGGACATGACGGCCATGCTCTGCGGGTCGTAGCCGATGTCCGCCAGGTTGATGAGGATCTTCGCCCAGACCCAGTAGCCGGGAACGAAGAAGTCAACGGAGGTGAAGCCCGTGTCTGCCCGCACCTTCGTGCCCGCCTTGTCCAGCCCCGTCTTCGGGTCCATGCTGAACAGCTGCAGCCAGCAGTGTGGGTCCGTCAGTATCATCAACAGCATCTGCGAGCCGAACATGCGTTGCCGAAACCCAGAAAAGAGGGTGCTGTTCCGCACACACGGCAGCGACGTCTCCCACACCTCCAACGCGCCTGTGATAAAGCCGGGGATGATGGCGACTGGGTGCCGCCGCGGCAGGTGGTGGTCGCCGTGGTTGTACTTCGCGAAGAAGGTCCGCCCCGGGCGTGTCTCCTCGTCAATCGCAAAGCTGCGTGTCACGTCCTCCATCACGCCTTGCGGGACAATAAAGTAGAGCAGCACCGCCAGCAGCAGCACGACGAAGTGGACGCGCTTCCGCATCCAAAAGTCGAGCATATCGAAGATGATGTGCTTCATCCACCCCGGCACCCGCAGCCGCTCCACCACGCTCGCCGTTCGCTGCTCCGCGCGCGTGATGTCCGACGCGCTAGTCCGATCCGTCGTGGCAGTGTCGAAGTCGAGGAAGTCCTCGCGCTGGAACATGAAGCCCAGGAAGCGGCGCCACCAGCTTTGTTTGCCCACTGCCGCCGCCGCAGCGGAGGCGCGACGATCTTTGCGGTCCCCAGCGGGCATGTTGTGTCCCGCCGCACTCACACGCGGGTGGGCAGGTGAGACCTCGATGGCGGGTGGGCGGTGGAGAGCGTCGACGCTGCTCTGGAGGTCCAGGACGGGGACGGATTGCTGGACGCCGTGCACCTGCATCGCTGAGACCGTTTGCGCGGAAGGCTCGACGTGCTCCTCCGCGTGCTGAGAGGGGAGGGAAGGAGGGTGGCGACGATTAGGACGGCGGTGCATCACGATCGGCCTCGGGTCCAGAGACGGCGAGCGGCGACGCGGCATCGTGAGAGCGAAAATATAATAATAATAAAAACAATAAAGTAAACAGATAAATAGTAAAGTACGCTGCAAACCTTCTTTGCCCTCCTTTCTTTCTGTTAACGACGAGAACAAGGAGGACCCAATTTCGATGCAGACGAAGGCAGCCGGCACGAATGGCCGAACACGCGTGGATGACGGGTAAGCCCTGAAGGAGGAGTGCGTGTATGTGCGTGGGCGAACGGCTAGATATTCAACCCGTCCGGGCGAGCCACAACGACCGCACGTAGATGCAAACGCAGATCAGCAACAAAACAATTTCCTTCCCCTTTATCTTTATAGTGAGGGGGGAGGGGAGTAGAAGGAAGAGACAGAGGAAGACGCAGAACACAAACACACACACTTTTGAATGTGAAAGGACGAACTAAACAGTCAAACGACTAAGGAAAAAAAATGAGAGGGAGAACGATGAGCTTCCGTCACTGCTGCTGCTACTTGTTCTTGATATATATATTATTGGCGCTACGTCTCGATTTTCGGTCTCTGACAAGTGTTTCTGATCTGCGACGTGGCCGTGCTGTGTGTATGTTGTATAGGTCGATATATGTATATATTATATGGATTTGATGAAGAGACACTATCCGTTGTATTCAATGAAACACATGTGCCGTCTCGGACAACTCGTCATTGGTTACCCCCGACGAGAGGTTTTTTTTTTTTGAGAGAACAAGAAAGAGGCGGAGGAAGTCGTTAAAAGAGCGAAGGATGCTTTACAAGAAGATCAGCAGCGGCCCGAGTGCACCGACGCTACCAGGGAAAAACAAACGGCACACTTCTGCACCGCACCGCGTACACCGCGCTTTCTTGTCCATATATATATATATTTCTTTGCCAGAGGACAGGAAGAGCGGCGAGGCGAGAGCAGCAACCACGAACACAAACGCCTGTCGTGCCCTTCACTCGGACGCAGCACACGGTGTAGCTCTGTCGACGCAGGGCCTCCAGTGTGCTGAACTGCCAGCGGGGTACTCCAGCGTAAGCGCACTTCCGCCCGAGAGAGAATAGCTGTCTCCTCTCTTAGCACACACCCTTGTCTAATAAATGTTTTTGGTTGGTTGATGGACGCTCATCCACGAGACATCTTGACGACCGCTCGACACGAAAACGATGCTGAAAAGTAAAAAAAGGTAATCGCCATCACCGACCAGAGAACTCAAAAAACAAGCACACGAGTGCAACGGGCACGTAGAGGAAACAAACAAATGTTTTCGTCTCTCCCCTCCCCTGAAAAAATGAAGAAACAAAAGGGAGGGAGAGGAAGCATACCACACACACACACACACACCCACGTACGCAGGTAATCAAAATGTATGTGTTACAGCAAACAGAACGAAAGGAAAAAAAATATATCGAGTAGTAGAAAATAACTGTCGTTTTACTTGTTCGGGGGGAGAGGAATTGGAGGGGTATTGGAGGTTTGTGTGTGTGTGTGTGTGTGACAGCGGCAGCACGATCATTCGCCTTACTCGTTTCTGTTCTTTCTCTTTCCCCTCTGCGTTGCCGATTTCTTCTTTTCTCTGTTTTCTTTCCATTTTAAGAAGCAACTCTATCCTTTACCTCTCTCAGGTTCAGTGTTGCTTTGCTGGCTCGGAGCGCTTCTCAGCTTGCATTTCATGTTGCCATTCTCCCTTCCAGCTGCTTGACGTCCCCCCCTCTCTCCCCTCCACCGCATGCGGTGTGCCGCCGTGTCCACCACCCCCACAGAAGGTGTGCTGCCTCGTCTCACGTTTGCTTCTATATGCTTTGCCCCAAAGACGTGTAGCAGAGACACCCGCATGGACACCGCAGTGGGAGAAGATCGGGCAACGGCAGGATCGACAAAAAGAAGAAGAGGCGGCGGCGGTCTTGGACGGACAAGCGTTCCGACTCCAACGAAAGAAGCGGGGGCAAATGAAAGACACGGCAACAACAACTAACCCAGAGAAATATTGTAGGGATGAAAAAGGAGAAAAAAAAATCCGGAAAGCACAAGAGCGACAAGAAGGCGTTGATGCGCTGCCATGAGAGCGTTGCACGCCTCTCTCTCCCCTTCCCCCCCAAACACACACACACAGAAGAAGAGGAAAGCGCCTTGAAAGGTGAAGAGAGTAGCACCAATAATAATAGTACCTACTCATCGAAGCGCAGCTTAAGGCAACAAACACCAATAAGAAGCATTTAAGAAAAGAAAAATGATCTAAAACCTCTGGAAGAGATAAATTCATCGCTCTCAGCGTTTGTGCGCCTCCTTTTTCTCCTTTTACTGGTACACAAAGAAATGTATATATAAGAAAACTAACAATAATAATAATAGACGCTTCCATCATCGTTCATTTCCTTTCCTCCTCCTCTTCTCCTCCTCCTCCTTCTCCTTCCTCGCAGCACGACCACCACTCTCAACATCTACTCCGCGCTCTCCTCCAGCACCTCACCCCCACCCCGCACCATCCACCACGCAAACACGAGCACTAGCACCGCCACAATACCCATGCGGATCATCCCCGTGTGTCCGCCCCGCACGACGCTCTGCCCGCCATCATTGCGGCGCCGCTTCTCCTTCAGTGTGTTCTGCTCCATCTGCTTCGCTGTCATACCCTTGCGACTACCGCCCTCGGCACCCGCGTTGTCGCCGGCCGGGCCGCCTTCTGCCGCAACACCAGCCGCAGCCGCAGCGTTGGTGGTGTTCGTCGTGGAGGTGCGGCCCGCCTCTCCGGCCGAGTCCGCGGCGTTCTCCTGTCCCCCCTCCGCCTCCAGCAGCACACGACAGTAGATGTACTTCTGCACGACCGCGGCAGCATTCGCGTCCTTCTTCTTCTGAATCAAGTTCGCCAGGTTCGCGCCGTGGGCCTCCACGACGTCCTGCTCGCCCAGCACCGCACACTCCACGCGAAAGGTGTCTTTCGTAAAGCGCTGGCCAGGCTGCACGCCCTCCGCGAAGTGCTTGCGGTTGAGGAAGATGGTCACCTTCGCCGAGGAGTTGCCCTTCACAACGCCTTTCGAGTGCTTCAGGTAGTAGCGCTGGGGGGCCGTAGTGCGGACGCGATAGATGACCGCCTCGTAGCCGACGTTGGTGAGCTCGAAGGTGCAGTCCTCGTTGGCGTGCAGCGCCAACTCGAACTTCTCGGGGTTGACGATGACGTTGGGAACGGCGGAGTCCATTTTTTTTCCCTTTGTAAATGGTTTTTTTTTTCCTCTCTGTGTGTTGAATAGGAAAAGGAAAGTATCGCAAAGATGCGGAGGGTACCTGGTCGTTTGCGATGGATGCTACGGCGATGATATGGCGATGATATACACGGATAAGTGTGTGTATTTGTGCTGCCGATTCGAGGGAGGGCCGACGCTAGCAGTTGCAGGAAGAGAGGAAAAAGAAAGCGAACGTGTTGTGGCAAGATTGCAGTGGCACCACCCCAACGCAGCAACAACAACAACAGAGGAGAAGCACCTCGGTGGACAATGAAATAGAATACAAATAAGGGTGGGAGAAACAAACACGAGCTGGAGACAGCGCACAAGCGTACCACACCGTGCGTACGGTAGAGAAATAAGAGAAAAGGAAATAAATGAAAGAAGACGATGCTTTCTGGGTATATGAGCGGGTCAGATTGATAATGCTCGATGTGGACACAACAGCAATGTAGAAAGAGAGAAAGAAGAAAACCTCCTGAGGATGTGTAGAATCGACTCTATAATAATAATAGTAACAATAAGATGCATCATAAGTAGATGTAGCGGGTGCGTTTGAGAGGGGGGAAGCGCGAGCGAGTTTCACGTGTGAGGTCGCGTGAGGACCAAGAAAGAAGACGAGGGCAGAGCAGAGAGGGTGCGACGCACAACAGCCATCTGCCAGAACAGAGAGGCCCACTCCCGCCAAAAACTGTGACGTGGTCTTTCCGCCGTGGGCAGGAGGTACTGCTGCGAAGGAACCCAACATGGGAACATCAGAGCAGAGGGCAGCGACGGAGAGCAACAATAACAATGGTACTTGAGTACTCCAGCAGCAGAGCGCGGCTTTGTTTGCGTGTAGCGGTGCTTTTCTTTTTAATGATGCATTTTCTCTTTCGATTCTCCTTTGTTGCTAGAGACAGAAACAAACGCACACATACACACATACACATACACGTACACGTACACACACGTGCCGTCACACATCAGCTGATTGATCTCACGCCTCTCTGCGCAAAAGAGGAAAAACTCCATACTTCACACGGCACTCGCCAGGATTCCCCCTCTTTTTTCTTCCTCCACAAATACATGCGTTGAAGATCACAAGATTAGGCGTCGTCAAACCACGCGATGGGTCCTAGGGCGTCTCCGACGAAGCTGCCGCGTAGCTCCATGATGGGCGGCGGGCCATCGGTCCACGTCCCACCAAACTCCGCCCCCGCCCCGGCAGAAGACGGCAGCGTCGAGAGCGAGCGCACGGAGGCGCTTCCCCCGCCGTTACACTCCATCTCTGTCTCCGCCGCTGCTTCTTCCGCCGCGGCCGCCACCGCCTCCTCGGACAAGACCGTGCACGACACCACCTTCACAATCACCTCGGCACCGACCATGTACTTGTTGTGCGGCGCACTCGGCGGTGCCATGGCACTCGTCGCTGACCTCACGGCACCAGCCGCTGCCGTGCACGACAACTCTCCCCCCATCTCGCTGATGTCGCCGTTCTGCCGCGAGAAAGGATCTGCGCCGTCGATGGAGCTAACGAGTCCGTTCTTGTCTCCACTACTACCGCAACTACCGCTGTCCAGAGGCAGATACCAACAGCGCTGCGCCGCGTGGTAGCGTGAGCCGGGCACCAGCACCGCCGCGGGTACCAGAAAAGGCACCGACACAAACAAATCCAACGTCAAGAAAACCCCGGCCGCGCTTTGGTGGGCAATGCGGGCTCGCATGCGTGTGCCAGGCGTGGGGGCAAACACACACACGCCGAAGGTGGCCGTCAGCCACGCCGAGGCCGCCGCGCCGCGCACACAGCTGGCGGAGTACTCCATGACGTCCGTGATCGCCACGCAAAGCCCCCGGGAGGGGACAACGCGGCCGACGTAGCGTTCGGTTAAGCGGTGCAGTACGACGTCGCGCAGCGTCAGCGCATAAGGCTCATCATTATCGTCGCCGTCGCCGTCACCACCGCTGTGACGGTGAATGCTGTGGTGGAGGCTGTTGTCTTCGGCGTTGTTTGCCCGGACTGCGTGGGAGGCGTCTGCGCCGCTGCTGGCGGCGGCGGCGAAGTTGTGGGGGAAGTACACCGCCTCGATGGCTACGGTGTCGTAGAGCACATAGGAAGCGAACATTTAACGCGACGTTGCTGCGTATGTGCTCTTCTTGCCTTTTAGTTTTTTCTTTAAATTTCAAACGTGCGGTTATTCAATTAGGTTAGACGTCCGGCGCAGAGACGGATTTAAAGCTGCGTGTTGCCCTTAAATCGTCAAAGGAAGAAAATAATATATAGGAGGAGTTGATGGCGCGCGCACCGCGTGTTTTCCTGCTCTCTCGTTTCTCGCTTCCTCTGTCACCTCTGTGCGTGAGGGCGACACCCAGTCCTGCTGCGCCGCTGTATGAATGAAGGGATCCACCCGACAGGGAGCTACGTACTCCGCTGAGAACGGTCGCGCAGGCGAGTAGGAGAGCCCGTCACAGAGAGGGGGAAAACACAAACAAACAAAAAGAAGCGGTAAAGGAGTCAGCGGAGAATGACGAAGTGGAGCCGTGCATGTATCTATCTACCTAGAAGGAAGCGCCGTGAGCGGCGGAGGAGGGAGAGGCACACGTACACCCCTGCTCTCATCACGGAACGCTTCTGCCGCCTGCCAAACACCGCATACACAGGCACTACACACCTAACTCTATTGCCAGCTGTGGCGTCACCCATCCACTATCGCTTCGAGCGAACAAGACAGCGGGCAGGGGCTGCGCAACGGAGCGGAGCCGCGGCTGCCGTGATGTTCGTTGACGCCGCAGAGACACCGCGTCTTTCCTTTTGCTGAAAGTCACCGTCGCGCGAATACAAGGGACGAACCTTTCTTTCTCCTTTAAAACCATCTTGTTATCGATTTGATTCCTTTTTTTTAAGTATTAAAAGGTTCACCTCTTAGTCCTTCAAGAAACTGCCGACACACACACACACACCCGTCGAAACTGACACCACGAAAGATTCGACAAGAACAACAATAAGAATAAGAAAGCGCACCCTGAAACATCTCCACCCCTTCGCCACAGCTGCGATGGGAGCGAGTACTCCTCACGTGATGCATGCTCTCGTCTTGATTCTTTCTTCTTCTTCGCTCAGTAGACGGACAACAATGCAACATAAACCACCACAACAACCAAAACGAAGGCCAAGCCTGCTCTTTTCCTTTTTAACTTGTGCACAGCAACTGCGTACATGCGGTGAACGGCGGTGATGCAGCTGTAGGGGAAAAATAGGGTGGCGACCAAACAGCCCAACTTTTGTGGTTTTTCCTAACACAAATGCAGAAGCACCAACACACACACACACGCATATATATGTATAGAAGCCTTTAATTAAGATCAATTAACGGTGATCCCCCCAAACACAAACAACATAGAATAAATAGACACGGTGAATTAGAAGAGCCGAGAGCGAGAGAGAGAGGGAGAGAGACAACACCCAACCCTTTGTCGCGTGGTTGCACACACACCGACACACCGACACACGCACATACAGAATGGATGTAAGGGTGCTAAAGGCGAAGCGAAAACAGTATAAACAACCCTCCGCTCGCTTTCCCATAAACGAAGGATTCTGCAGATGAAATCACTTCTCACCTCACGCACTGGGCTTCATCGACACACCACGGCGGATCGTACCCCAGCCAATCAGGCGGAAGGTCTTGTCCACCATACGCGAGATGGCTACCTGCTCACCAGTCGAGCAGCACACGGGTGTCACCAGCTCCAACTTCGCGATTTCGGGATCCTGCGTAATGCTCAGCACCGTCGCGCCGGCCGTCAGCGTGCCAACGTTGATCTGCAGAGACTCGAGCACGTTCAGCTTCTGCACGCGCTTCGCCGAGGACTTGCCATCCTTCGACTTCGCACCGACCATCTCGGAGAACAAGTAGAATTGCACCTCAATTTCGCAGTACACCGCCGGCAGCGAGCCCTCCGCGCCGAGCATGTTACCCACCATCTTGTCCTGCCGCGTCAGCGTCGGGTCCAGCGTCGTGCCTACGGCGATCAACCCACCAGGAATGGCGTACTGCAGCACGTTGTTCTCCGCCTTGAGCGACACGGTGCGGGTGCGCAGCGGCGTGTAGGAGAACCGCCCTCCCTGCTCGTCTGAGTTGAGGGTGCGCACCACACCGGGGCAGATCTCGACCACCTGTCCTACTTGAATCACACCCTGTGTCACCGTCCCGCCCGCCACGCCGCCCTTCAGGCTCTCGATGTCGCCGTCGCCCGGCTTGTTGATGTCGAAGGAGCGCACCACCGTCATGCGCACCGGCGTCTTGAGCTGACGCTGCGGCATCGGGATGTGCAGCAGGTACTCCAGCAGGTAATCGACGTTGCGCTTCAATTGGGCGGAGATCGGCACAATCGGCGCGCTCAGTGCGATGTTGTCGAGATAGGCGCGGATCTGGCGGTACTGATCGTGCGCCTTCACCTCTCCCACGAGGTCGATCTTGTTCTGCAGGACAATGAGGGAGCGCAGCTTCATGATCTCCACCGCCTTCAGGTGCTCCAGCGTTTGCGGCTGCGGGAACGACTCGTTCGCCGCGATGAGCAGCAGCGCCGCGTCCATGATGGCCGCACCGTTCAGCATCGTCGCCATCAGCACGTCGTGGCCGGGGCAGTCCACGAAGGAGAAGTGGCGCTTCAGCGTCATGGTGGCGCCGCAGTTGGGGCACGGCGTGCTGTCGGGCTGCGAGGACGGGTAGGTCTGGTAGCAGGTGGGCCGCGGGCACGCCTCGCACTGGTACACCTTGGCGTTGGCGTAGCCGAGATGGATGGTGATGTTCATGACAGCCTCGCGGTGGAACTTCTGCGTCTTGACGCCGCTGAGCGCCTTGACCACGGTGGACTTGCCGTGTGCCACGTGGCCGATGGTGCCGACGTTGATGGTTGCCTGGCGCGACATCACCTCGAAGGTGTCGACGCTGAGGTCATCGAGGTTGATCTTGCTGAGGTCCTGCTTCGCCAGTCCGTTGTCCGTGTCCACCACGTTCTCGTCGTCGAGGGTGAAGTCGGCAATATCCTCCTCGCCATTGTGTCTGCGTGAAAAGGGAAAAAGGTGAACGAAATAATATGTGCGTACAAGGATGTATCAAACACTCAGTTGGCGTAACGAGATCGTCGGGTAAGCCTTCTTTTAAAGGAAAGACGTTGTCTGCTTTGTAAAACTGCGAAGGGAGACGCGGCGTGTTCACGGCGCGAGAGATGAAGATGAAGCACAGAACACGAAGGCGAGCCGTGAGACAGGGAAGAGGGTGTGGTCGGGAGGAGAAGGAAGGAAAAAGACGGCGTTTAAAGCACTGGAGGAGCATGTGCAGCGACGCAGAGGGGTGGTTTTGGTTCCATTACTCGGGTAGGTGGGAAAGGGAGGTGAGCTAAGGTTCTCTAGCGCTTTCTTCACCTCTTACGTGTCGCACAAAGCTGGTAACAGTAAATAAATTGGGGGGCATCGTTATCTGTGACAACAACACACACACAAGCACACACAGCGCTTTACGACGCGGTGAAGTCGTTGGCGTGCGTGTCAAGGCGAAACAGCGGAGGACAACTAGAACAATCGCATCCTTCGGTTTCCCTTTGCCAACATGCAAGATCGCTATCAAAGAGCCCTCTCTCTCTGGGTCGTCTACTGAGTTGCTTGATATCTGTTCTGGGTCTCGACTCGGTGGAGGGCTGCCCACACACACGCACACCGCCATGGTCAGCAGACGGACAATCGGACTACAGAGCGCGTGGATAAACAAGATACGGAAAAAGAGAGAAAAAAGGACGCAAAAGAAAACTAAAAAAGGCCCGTACTAAACTCCGTCGCGCCACCGTCGACGTGAGAGGCGCAGCGCGAAGTGCGAGAGTGGGAGAGCGAAAAGCGAACTCGAACTACCACCGCAACAGCAGCAGCAGCGGCAGCAGCCAACGGATGCGTGCCCACCGTCGCTTTCCGTCACGACTACCTGCGACCTCTCACAGCGCTTGGTGGGAGAAAACAAGAAGAGTAGCGAACACAACAGCCCGTACGTGTTGCGTGTGGGTGCTGCACACGCGCTTCGATGATGGGTGCACGCACCGTCAGCAAAGCCGATACAAACGCGCAGGAAGAAGAAGACCCCCCCAAAAAAAAGAAAAGGATCCTCTCGAGGCTTTCCGCCCCTTTTCGTGTCTCTGCACCGCCACGTGCGCGGATCGTTGCATTACCGCTTCCCCCTTGTCTTCCTCGACGAGCTCCTCGCTCTGCAAAAAATGGAAAAGTGCAAATACATGTGCTTCCCTCGCACGTGCGCCTGTGTTGCTCCCATTTCTTTTTCTTCGTCCTCAGAGTCTCTTACTCGGGTAGCAGTCGCACCGGTACTCCCCGGCGTATCGTCCCCCAGCCAATCACGCGAACCTTTCGGTCGACGTAGCGCGCCAGCACAATTCGCTGCTGCGGTGGGTCGGCCGACAAGGGGCTTTCCAGCCTGCAAATAGCCCGGCCGGCGTGCCGCGACGTGCGCAGGACCGTGGCGGCCGTCGTCAGCGTACCGACGTTCAAGACGATGCTCTCGCCCTCGTGCAGGGGTGCCACCCGCCGCCGCGACGACGACGCGGTGTGATTCGGGTGTACCCGGTAGGACCACCCGTTGCTGCTGCTGCTGTTCGCATTGTCGAAACTCACGCGGGCAGGCGGAAGGCCGATGACCTCGCGGAGAAGGAAAAAGTGTATCTCCACCTCTTGGTAGACCTGCACACCGACGAAGCTGACGCCGGCGGCGTCGTCGCCGTTAATGTTGCGAGCTGTGGTCGCGGTGAGACCGCTGGACCGCGCCGCATCCGGCGTGGGCGACGGACACGGCAGAGGCGACGCCGCGGTCACCGCCCCCGCTCTTGCACCCCTCTCGTCCACATTACCTCCGCCCTGTGCCGTTTCATCGTCGTTGTCGGTGCTGCGACCGCTGCCGCCTCCATCACCATCACGTCCGCACGAGCTCGTCTTGTCCCCCGTCGTGGGCCCATTCGCGGCCGTCCACACCGGCCCTCGCCGGACGAGTCGCACGACCTGCCCGCGCAGTTTATTCTGCCGCGTCAGCGAGGGATCTAAGGTGGTGCCAATGGCAATGAGACCACCGGGCACGGCAAAGGCCAGCGCATTCTGCTCGGTCTGCAGACGCACCACTGTGGTGCGGAGGGGCACGGAATAGATTTCGCCCGGCGGGGGCGAGGTGACGTAGGAGACATCCTGGCCGGAGAGGACGTCGGCTCTCCTCGGCAGAACCCCGTCGCGGCGCCGCAGCGTCAACAAGCCAGGGATAATCTCGATCTCGTCCCCCGCGCACAGCACGCCGGCCGCGACGGTGCCGCCTACCACGCCGCCCTTCAAGGCACCGGCGCCGCGGCCAGTCGGCCCGGGCAGCGACACGTCGAAGGAGCGAAGGACGTTCAAGTAGGGCGTGCGCCGCAGCATGCGACGCGGCAGCGGGATGTGCACGAGGTAGTCGAGAAGGTACGCTAGGTTCAGGTGCTGCTGCGCACAGATAGGGATCACCGGCGCACCGACGTAGGCCGTCTTGGTCGTTAAGTAATGGTGGATAATGTTGTACTGCGCGGCGGCGTGGGCCTGGGTGACGAGGTCGATCTTGTTCTGCAGGACAATGAGCGAGGGCACACCGATCATCTCCGCTGCGGCGAGGTGCTCCAGCGTTTGCGGCTGCGGGAACGACTCGTTCGCCGCGATGAGCAGCAGCGCCGCGTCCATGATGGCCGCACCGTTCAGCATCGTCGCCATCAGCACGTCGTGGCCGGGGCAGTCCACGAAGGAGAAGTGGCGCTTCAGCGTCATGGTGGCGCCGCAGTTGGGGCACGGCGTGCTGTCGGGCTGCGAGGACGGGTAGGTCTGGTAGCAGGTGGGCCGCGGGCACGCCTCGCACTGGTACACCTTGGCGTTGGCGTAGCCGAGATGGATGGTGATGTTCATGACAGCCTCGCGGTGGAACTTCTGCGTCTTGACGCCGCTGAGCGCCTTGACCACGGTGGACTTGCCGTGTGCCACGTGGCCGATGGTGCCGACGTTGATGGTTGCCTGGCGCGACATCACCTCGAAGGTGTCGACGCTGAGGTCATCGAGGTTGATCTTGCTGAGGTCCTGCTTCGCCAGTCCGTTGTCCGTGTCCACCACGTTCTCGTCGTCGAGGGTGAAGTCGGCAATATCCTCCTCTTCAGTCATTCACCAGGAAGAGATTCTAATACCAGTAAGTTAAGAACACGGTTTTCTTCTGTCTCCCCTCTTTTCACCTAGGATCTCCCCTTCCTTTGACCCTGCACGTGTGCACGTTTTCTGCCGCTCCTTCCGCTCCTTTCGCTCCTTCGCCTCCTCGCTCTTGAGGGCCGGTGACGGAGGAAACCTGATCCCAGCGCGGCGGATCTATGCACCTCAATCGCATTCAAAGAACAAGTCACGACGACTTCCAGGGGCGAATCCAAGAACCAAAAAAGGACGACAATTGAGGAGGAAAAAAGGCAGGCAAGCGTGTTGAGGGCCCACCGTAGCAGAAGAGTTGAAGAAAAACAACGGAGCACCCACAGCAAACAAATATCAACTGAGAGAGGAAGAAAGAATTGCCAATCGATAGACGCAGACCAAGAGATGTCTCTGGTGGGATGGGAGGGGTGTTTGCCTTTTCCGTATTATACAAGACGTCGCGGAAGGACCACCGCCACGTGTGCGCGGTGGAGCGTGAATGGCGACAAGAGAGCTGCAGAACGAGTCGGCGATGACGTAGATGATCTGTGAGAGGGAGAAAGAGAGGGAAAGGATGGATGGAAAGAAATAAAGAATATATATGCAAAAACAATCCTGGAGTTTCAAGCTTCTGGTAGCAAAATGCGTGTCAACGCCAGTGCGTGCAACGAGAGAGAGAGAGAGGTGGTGGCGTAGAAGAAGCGGACATTTGGTCATTGGACGAAAGCGTAAACGACAGCATCCGCTAAAGAAAAGAAAAGGGAAAGAAAAACGCTCATCAAAATGAACGACGAGTGCGCCGCTGCAGTGAGATTATTTGAAATCTTCTTCCCTTCTCGTGAATCCCACACGTTTTCCAGAGATCGGTTCTCCTCCTTCCCTCCACAAACACACGTAGCGGAAGGCTGATGGCACCGAGTCGACTCCTCCACGATAACATTGACAAAAAGAGATCCCGACAGAGGGAGCAACACACATACACACACACACACACACGATGCCACCGCAACGCCACGTGATGTGCTGCCGACCATTTGGAGATAACAGACGATCGTCACCAAAACCGTACACCGTATGTGCGTTTTCGCTTTGCTTTAAAAAGGTCGCTGCTGATGCAACAGCAGCAGCAACAACAACATGAGTGATATCTAGGTGTGACAAGAACAGGAGAAGATCCAATAATACAATGTATAAGTTTATATACAAACAGAAGATAAAACCAACGCACTTGGGAATAATACAAAGAGGAGTAAACAGTGCAAGAAAGGAGGAGTGAGTCGTCGCAGATCAACGGCGAAAGACACACACACGCGGAAATACTTCCTTTGTCTTTCCTTTGCTTTCTTCGTCCCTAAAAAAAAACCCTGTCTCGCACTTCGACCGTTGTGCTGCCGCAGAAGAAATGAGAGTAGTAATGGTAGCAAACATCATCAAAGAACACACGCCATTGCGTGACTGCCGTGACGCGCTCTCGCTCTCTCTCTCTCTCTCTCCTCCCTCCCCCCCCCCACCACACAC